ATTTAAGAAAAACTTTGTGTGTACCGTATAACACTTTATTTTGGCAGTGCTTTATTTTGGTGATTTTGCTGTAAAATTGTAATTGGTGGTTTTTAATTTGGTGGTTTTTAATTTGGTGGTTTTTGTGTACACATGCATTACTGAGCATGCGCATTAATGATTGGCGGTTTTAATATTGGTGATTCTGCTTGCAAACCGCCAATCGCCAAATTAAAGCGCTATACGGTATTGCAATGCATTTTATAAACATGAAATATTTTAAGGTGACTTTAATTTAGCAAAATTTAAAAAAAGTAAAATTAAAAACCTGATAGTAGCACATGTGTAAAATGAACACATAACAATTAAAAATTTTAATAATAAAGGCAGTAAAATATTCCAATTCTAACATAATTTAACTATTTAACTAGCAATATTATAATGCTTAAAGTTACATATTTAAGCAAAAACAATTTGTACACTTTAAAATAAGACACTAAATGTACAAGACATTTGCACTACTTGCTAAGATTTAAAGTTGTTCCTTATTTCCTGTTTGTATAATCCTTGATGCTCCCACTAGCCATGGCTTTGTCTTTGATGTAACCTTCACACTGACTCTGAAGTACAGACTATCATCTTTAAGATACTGACAATTAGTAACTGGTTTGTACTTTAACTCTTCATGTGATATGAACTTTGAGGGACCCCATCCACCGCTTGCAATGCTACCTTCCCTCACTCTTTGCTTAGATACATCTGGTGCTGATCTATTATATAATAAGGTACGTGTCCAATGATTCTTATCCTGCAATTGATTCAGTAGTTCTATAGTAACTTCTCCTTGAAATGGCCACCCCAAAATATCATCATATTCTCCTGCCATGAGGTTAATGGAGCAAGAGATGTGTGTACCTTCACCAGTACCAGTACCGTTAGGATAAACACGTAGTAACATCTTATATCCTCCTGGTGATGTGTAGAAGCCTGGGCTGAACCATGTCATATTTCCTTCTTTCTTCTTAGTAAATTGATTTAGTTTCCACACTTCATTTGATGCTATTAATGGATTTCTCAGCTTTAATGATTTTATTGTTTCTATTGCCAATTGTAGATGTTGTTTTATCTCTTCTTCATTATGTTTCTCTTGTTCTTCTCTCTTCATTCTCTTAGTACATCCAACAGTATTGTATTCACATGGTATGATAGCTTTAGGGCAGGTCTCATTGTGTAATGCTAGTGAACTTTGTGGCATTTTCTCATCGCAACCTTCATTACTACATTGGATTGGGAGGTCAGGACACTCATCAAGATGATTTCGGCTTGTTATCAGTTGGTGTGTGGCTCTTCGCTTGCAATACTGACAGTTAACAATTCGCTTAGGACAGTCGTCTGTCAGATGTGTCTCCAGTTTACTTCTCCTCATCTTCATTCCACATTTATTAGTACAAGGTACCTGTTGATAGGTACAGCTATTATTAAGATGAGTAACGATATCATTAATAGTCCCCATCCATTGGCACCCACTATCAGTGTTAGTGCAATAAACCTCAAGTGACTTTATTCCCCTTTCTGCTCTTCCATCTTTGAAGTACTTTCCTTCTAGTGAGCTACGACAAGTTGGGCAGATAAACCCTTGGCCCTTCCTCTTTAGTGTATCCAGACAGCTCTTACAGTATATCTTGTAGCAACAGGTAACTTGTTGAGGATCCCGTGCTACCAGTGTACAGATATGGCATTGATACTCATTGGGAGGATCACCATCAACAAACTTATAGCTATAACCACCATATTGAGCACCATTAGCAGTAGCCATTCTAGATCATGTCATGTGAGAGTTTATGCTGTTATAACCTTATTAAGGCTTACAGTTTACATTTCTTGAGGTGATGATAGTCCAGTGACTATAAAGCATAAGCCATTAAGTGCTTTATGCTGCCATTGTAGGATTACAGGGTTTGTTTGCCATTTTAGCACTATTATTTATAGCCAAACTATGTATGGTATAATTATAATCATAATACGGTGTCGACTTTATTTCAAACAAGCTTTGTGCTAGAATATCACACTATAAATTGTAGTGAGTTTAGTCTCATTTATTTGCAATTTTTAACTTTAGATTTTTGTTGTTACATGTATTTGTATCAACAATGGAAAAATTTAAAATGTTCATTTATATTTAAATTAAATTTTTGCTTTATTTAATTTAATGTACAAAATGTTATACATGGAATAAAAGTCTAATTATCTAGCTGAAATTTTTTTTATTATAATTTAAAGCCACTCAAATAAGCTTTTGGGGCTGATGCTAGTGCTGGCAGGTGGTTCATTAAGTTTTTTATTGCAATATGCATGTAATTAAATAATGTATCAAATGCAGATGGGAATAGAAAATCTATTTCTATAGTTGGAATGGCCTAATGCTCATAAAAATTGATAGGGATAATATATATAGGCAACTTATATAGTGACTATTAATATTATAGAATTGGATTTTTGCATGGAAAATGCACTTCTATTAAATTTTTATTTTACATGTGATTTGTTTTGTAGCATTTCCTGTACTCTAATATCTGTTTGTAGTTACCTCATTTTACATGATACCATTATGTACCCATTAGATTACAATTTCATATTCATAAATTAAATTTTAAATAATTTTTTATTATTGGATAAATCTAAAATCTAAAACTGTTATTAATATATCCTACTCAGCTTTAATATTTAAATTTGATAACAGCCATGTATTAGTCCTTTTTTACCAGCCATAGTTTTGTCGTTGATCTATGATTCACACTGACTCTGAAGTACAGGCAATCATTTTTAAGATACTGACAGTTATACAATGACCTGTCATGAGGCATGGACCTATGACTTATTTGAATAGCTGCTTTTCTCACCTGATGATAACCTAATTCACTTTGTGATATGAAGTCAGGTATATCCCTAAGTTTTGAGCTTATATCTTTTTGCACTCTTTCCTTGAATTCATGTGGAGTTGCTTCATAATAAGAAAGAACTACCTTCTTATGATTCCTATCCTCCAGTTGATTCAGTAGTTCTATAGTAACTTCTCCTTGAAATGGCCACTCCAATGTATCATCATATTCTCCTGCCATGAGGCCAATGGAGCAAGAGACGTGTGTACCTTTAGCTTCCTTATAACCATTTGGACAAACATGTAATTCCATTTTATATCCTCCTTGTAAAGTGTAGAAGCCTGGACTCTGCCAAATTCCATTGCTTTCTTTCTTTTCTGCAAACTGGCTTAATTTAAATACTTCATTTGATGCTATTAATGGATGTTTCTTCTCTAGGGCTGCTTTCAGAGTTTCTGTTGTCACCTGTAGTTGTTTTTTTGTCATCTGCAGATGTACTTTTGTTGATTCTTCATTGTGCTTCTCTTGTTCTTCTCTCTTCATTCTCTCATCACATCCAACAGTATTGTATTCACATGGTATGATAGCTTTAGGGCAGGTCTCATTGTGTGATGCTAGTGAACGTCGTAGCATTTTCTCATTGCAACCTTCATTGCTGCATTGGATTGGGAGGTCAGGACACTCATCAAGATGACTCCTGCTTGTTATCAGTTGGTGTGTGCCTTTTCGTTTACAAATCTGACAGTTAACAATGCGCTTAGGACAGTTATTTGTCAGATGTGTCTTCAGTGAACTTTTCCTAATCTTCTCTCCACATCCATTAGTACAAGGTACCAGTTGATAGGGACAACTATTAAGATGAGTATCAATTGATGTATCAGTTTCATTAATAGTTCCCTGCCACTCACAACCCTCCTCACTGTTAGTACAGTAAACCTTAAGGGATATGATCTCACGATTGATGCCACCATCTCTGAAGTAGTTGTCATTGATTGGCTCTCGACATAAAGGACAATTTTTACCTTGTAGTTGGTCTAGACAGCTTTTACAAAATCTGTTTGAGCAGCAGGTAACTTGATGAGGATCACGTAGTACAAGGTGACAAATGCTGCATTTTAATTGATCCCTAGGCTCACCATCAATGAACTCATAGTCGTACCCACTGCATCCTTTATTATCAGGAATCGATGAAAAGTCAGTGGCTGTTGCAGTAGCCATTGAGTATTGCAGGGTGTGTCTGTTTACTGTAACTGGTTGCTATGACATCTTTAGACTATGAATATGCTATATTAATATTAATGTAATTAAAAGCTACTGCCAGCTGCATTAAACAAATATTTTAACTGCATTTTGCATTGTTTGATACTTGATATTGTACTGAACAATTGTATAAATTTTTAATTAAAATTAAAATTTATTTTATTAAATTTATTTTTTGGTAAAATTGAACAATTATATCTTTATAATTCTTGCATATTATAATTGTATCATTTTATACAATAGCTCCTGACTTGGAACAAGCCACTGTTACCATGGCTACCAACTTCACAGCTACTCTAAATATTTCTCGTGCTTTCTTCCCTCTCCTGCGTCCTGGAGCTCGTGTTGTTAACGTTGCATCATTCACTGGGAAACTTAGTAAATATGGACCAGCTGTAAAGGTTAGGAGTGCACTCTGTAATTTTGATAAACTTGTTAAATATAAATGGGCATATTCTAGTGTATGTACATTCAGAAAATGATGAAATAGAAAACTCAATAAAAATTAAATACAATGACATCAAAATTATATCCTTTATATAGGCTAAATTCACAGATCCTAATCTGACTCAGGCTGGCCTAGTATCATTGATGGAAGAATACATTTCTGTTATCAGAGAAGGTACATTATGAACTATTTCATATTACTAATGTAGATACACCATACATTTAAAACAGGTAAAGCTAGTGAGCTAGGCTGGAACAATACCAAGTATGGTACAAGCAAAACAGCAGTCATTGCCCTCAGCAAGATACATGCTAAAGAGCTTGCAGCTTCTGACAAGGAAGACATATTGGTTAACAGCTGCTGTCCAGGTTGGGTGAAGATGGACATGGCTGGGGACAGAGCTCCCCTGACTCCTGATGAAGGAGCTGTCACACCAGTCACTTGTGCTCTGTTGCCCCCTGGTAGTCCTAATGGAGAGTTCTGGAGGGATCAAAAAGTTTCTGAATGGTGACCTTTCTAAATCACAGTGATCTTAATAAACTTTAATTAATAGTTTATCTGAAACTGGCTAGGCTGCCATGTAGTGATTTGATAGCTAGTTATAGCTTTTTTATTTCAAAAAATTAGTTTTATACCATGTTATTAAAACTATAAAAACAGGACAGTGTTTGTAGCAGCTTCAAAAAAGTTTTAGAAGAGGCAAAGTTCTTGGCTATGGCTCAGGATTGACAGCAACAACAAGGTCAATAGACCCCTGTACATAACACAAAATAATTTATAATTTTTTAGAACCTTTTGTTCACTTACCGAGCGTGAGTCCATTGCTCTCTTGAAAGCTTCTCCAGCTTCATCATGTGACACATCAACGAGACTAACACCATCACATGCCAGCACCTGATCACCAACATTGAGTTTACCTTTATAATAGAAAATAATAAAATGATTATAATTATTGTCTTTTTATATTTTTCTTCTCTTTCTCTTTTATAATACCATAGCTATGAGCTGCTCCTCCTTCAATTATTCTTGATATTATTATTTTTGGTCCAAGTGGTGTGTCCCTTCCTCCTCTTATTGCCAACTTCAGTGGCCCACTCTATTGTCAAAGTTAAGGGAAACCATTTCAAGAGTATCTTCACCCAAAATAAAAGGTACTGACTTTTGGTATTGTGTGGTGTTGTACCTGCCTTCCTTCCAATATATCCTGACTAAACTGCATGTACATGAATTATGATGGTAACAATAATGTTATAATGATGTTTGTATGTGCATGTACATGTATGCATTTTAATTGCTTACAGTAAGATTGCTAGGGTGAATGTTGCTTCCACTAGTACGTGTGTTGACAGTATCAGTGCTGGCATTGGCTTTCATGCTGCCTGGTATGATCTGTATACTGTTGGTAGAGGATTAGAAATAATTTTTATTAATGATGAAGATAAAGCAATGTTAATGTAGGTAGGAGAGATGAGGAAATAAAATAGGAAATCAAGTAGGACAAGAATTTAATGAAATGCATCAATTAGGCATGTTTTTGATTTTTAAAAGTTTCTCCAAAATTATGCCAAAGTCCCTGTACTATAGTATAGGGATTTTGGCCAAATTTCGCCAAAAATTAAATAAAAAAATTCTCAATTTTATTATGTTTTCTAATATGTATACATGCACTTATGTTGTGTAGAAAGTTTGAGCTGATTTCGATCAAAAATGAATTTTTTTACAAATTTTTAAAGTTGCTCCAAAATTATGCCAAAGTCCCTTATATAGTACAGGGACTTTTTGCCAAAAATTAATATGAAGGAATTCTTCATTTTATTATGTTTTCTGGTACGTATAAACGTTCTTATGTTGTGTAGCAAGTTTGAGTCGATTCCGACAGAGATTGGATTTTTTATGAATTTTTAAAGTTGCTCCAAAATCGGGCCAAAGTCCCTGTACTATTAGTAACGCGGTAGCGTTACTAAGTAGGATTCACCCCCAAACAAAATGGCTGCCACGACTTTTGCAGCCTTGCTATATAGTACAGGGATTTTGACCAAATTTCGCCAAAAATTAAAATAAGAAAATTTTTCAATTTTATTACGTTTTCTGATGCATATACATATATGGTACTTATGTTGTCTAGAAAGTTTGAGCTGATTCTGATCAAAATTGGTTTTTTGCGAATTTTAAAGCTGCTCAAAATCGGGCTAATGACCCTGTACTATAGTGCAGGGTATTTTGTCAAAAATGAATAAGAGAAGATTTTCTGTTTTTACAATTCTTTTTGATACACATACATGTACTTATGTTCTAATTAAATTCTATTGCAATAACTTTCAAGTGCAATTTTCAAAATAATATGCAACTAAACTGTATATGACTCAACTCTCTGAATATTGCATGTACATGAATTATCAAAGATCAAGTTATGTCTATGCCGTGTGTAATCAAATCTTACTTGTCATCAAATATTGGGTGTCTTGCCGGACTCTAAATCAAAACATGAAACAAATCAACAACTCACAAATTATGTGATGACTAGTTTATTATCAGCGAAGCCAATCGAGAGAGCACTAATGACTGTAACTGCAAGGCATCTTTTAATGATTGGGCTTTAGCAAAATACATATGCATGTTGCAGTATTATAAAAGTACATATATTAACACTGTCAGCTTTTTGTCAACTTTTTAAAATTCATCTTTATTGAAGTATGCACTATTTATACTAGTACTTACTGTTTTGTTTCCTCCTGGTTTCTTAAGTGCTGAAGTTTGTCTCCTCAGTACGACTGGTTCCTCCTGTGTTGGTGACATGTCTCTACCCTCAACCGTTGCTCGTCCAAGTGGTGCAACCGGCTCTTCAGACGAGTCACGTGAAGGCCTCATTAGCGCGGCATCAAAATCATGTGATTCTTCTACGTCAAAGTCGGTCCCAAGTCCCATGAGTGTCGGCATTGGTAGTGTGCGCCCATGCCCAAATGTAGCTGGAGCAATGGTGGGCATGAAGCGAGACTGCTCCACGTCAGAGTCAGTCACTGATACTCGATTGACTGATGTCTGTTTTGTCATTTTTCTTTGATTGGGTGGAGAGCGGGTCCTTAGCTCAAAGTTGCTGTCGTGGTTCTGTCTTGTCCTGTTTCCTCCGTGAGAGGAGGAGAGGGCGTGTACATCAAAATCAAAATAAGCTCCTCCTTCTTCTCCTCCTTCGTAATCAAATGAATTACGAGCTGAACCCTAATTAATAATAATAATAATAATAATAAGTATAATTATTATATCATATTACTGTATGTACCTCATCAACTCTTATAGTTAACATAAGCACATCACTTGAACGAAGTATCCTAGTTGCCTATAGAAGATAAATATTATCATTTTCTCTCTCTTTCTCTCTCTTGCTATAGATTTTCTCTACCTCATTCAGTGTTTTTCCAAGAAGGCTAGTCTCATTAACATGTATAATCTCATCACCACGCTGTTTGAAAGAGAAAGAAAAAGAGACAAAAATTAAAGAAGAGAGAGAGTGTCAGTTTGACTTACTTTTAGGCCAGCAATATCAGCAGGTGAGTTTGGAGTAATGTCACGTATTAAAACACCACCATCAATAGCTGAGCTTGCCTTCACACTACACATGATGTACATATCATAATGATAACTGAATATTGACAGTTTACATTTGTATTGTGTCTCTCTATGTTGATTAACTCTGTGTCTATGTTTTGCCTGTGCCTTACCGTTTGATTATTTTTATCATTTTGGGGAAATGTGATTTTAATGAGACATTATGTACATGTATGTACGTATGTACACATACATATGCTCATGTTTGTGTGAGACTGGCCATGTGTGTGTATTGTAATGTAGCAACATCATTTCTTTGATGTCTAGTGGTAGTATGTGGTCATAATGAAGCTTAATGTTCCTGTTTTATTTGTAAGAAATACAAACTGTTGCCTTCACTCTAACTTAGTTTGTCAATTTATATGCACAATGGGTATTCTGATTATTCTTACGATGCTCCTAGTGTTTCATTTTCACTGAGAGTCACTTGGATCCTCCTTGTACTTTGAATTGGTCCATGTACACCCTAAAAATAAGACATACCCTCTTAATAATACATACCCTATTAATAATACATACCCTATTGATAATACATACCCTATTTATAATAGATACATACCCTATTTATAATACATGTACATACCCTATCAACAATACATATACACTTCATTTGGTACACCCTATAGTGCATCATGCCTATTGTGTCAGACATACATATGTTAACATGCATGACATGCCCACATGAATTAGTAGTGTCCCTCTTTATGGTAATGTGATGAGATAAGAGGCCAGTGGGTGGGTGTACACAGCATATTCAAGACATATTGGTAGCTATGAGAAGCATCTAGATTGATAAGGAGTTCAAAGTGTTTCCTATATTGTGTTAATTCCCTCTATTATAACTTGACCATATTTAGATATAATTGTGATACACCTTAATATCTAAGACTGCCTACTTTATACTAATCAATGCTTACACACACAGCTCTGATTACATTATGTGTTATGAAATCCAAGAGAGTACACGCTATTTACTGATATAAATAATATAATTTTATTTGCACTCTTCATGTCAAAATTGTTTCTTTTTTTTATACATGTCTGTACTATGCACTTTGAGCTCCATTAGTAGTGAGACCATTCTTAAGTTCAAAAGGAAGCTATGAGTATGGTCTGTTATTATATAAACCAGACAGTAGCATAATGAATGGTACGTGGCTCTAATAAGCATTCTTAACATTTTAATGTAAAAGTGTAACCACAAAAACCGTACACTTACAATTCTAGTGGTAGGACGCCAGGGATCCTTCTCTACCACTTCCCTCCATACAACCATGTTGCTTCCAGACCTTTATAAGTACATACACATATACACACTTAGTTATTAATGGGCCATTGCTTAGCACTTACGGTTTCTCAGGAATCAGTCCAACAACTAAAAAAAGAAAGAGATTGATAATTTATGTCCACGTGCCTTTTGGCATTGTATTATATCAACATGTAGGCTTTTTGTTTGTGTTTGTTAGTGAGTGGGTGAAATGATAGCGGTGCTATATCTATCAATTAGACATTTTTTGTGTAATAAATGACCTATCATGACCTCACAGCATTTTTTGACACTTTTCTTTACTACTGGCAGTCTCTCTCTGTCTGTTATGACTGACTCAGTCACTTGTATGGGCTGTTACTCATCCTCCATCAGTATAATCACACACATTGTGTTTATCATTTATGGATCAGTTACAGGAAGTATACATCTGAGTCTACTGTCAGTAACTACAGCAACCATAAGTGGAGTAAGTGTCTCCTTTAGACAAGTCTAGTGTGACCACATTTGATTGTTGGCTCTAATTAACTTTGATATTTATTTAATGCGTAATGTAATGCCTGCACCTATGTCTGTAGTATGTCTATGTCATAGTGGGTAGCATATTTGTGTTTTGAGTCATTCAAGTATGTCTGAACTGTCTTTGTGGTCTCATGCTCTTTGTTAACATTAGCATAACTACATGTATGCATCATCAGTAATGATATATGCATCAAGAATATGTATTGTATGTACATGTACATGTACTAGTGTCCATGTCCTACCTTTAATAGCAAGTACTAGGGATTTCTTTTGCTTCACGAGGCTCACAAATTCTTCGTGTGTGCACTCGGACAGGATTAGCCCATTTAACCTCACAATCTGGTAGCCGGCCTAAAATGAATGATACACATGATAGTGCCTGTTGTGTTGTTGTTTTAGAATAGAAAAAGTAATCCTATAGCTGACGTAATGTACGTACAATGTATCACATATAAATTACAATAGATAACGTTGAAATAATTACTCAGTAGGTTTTTTTTACCATACTTTACTTGTATTTTTCTTTTATAATTATGATACCTTGTCCAGCCACAAAATAAAGTAATTAATGATAATAATATGGCTTAGTTTTATAAATATAATTAAATCGGACGTCAAAATACTCCTTTTTGGTGGCTTAAGGGAGTCATAACAAGTTTTTTACTTGGTTTCTTTCAGTGGGGGCCATTGAGTATTACCTCACCTTGAAATACTTAAAGACTTTAAACCTTAACATTTAATTGCTAATCCAAATTTTAGATACTACATTGTCGTTATTGTTTATACTTTTATAGCATAATCTCTCATGCATTATGATACCTTCATTACCTTGTACATGTACTTATACACTTGAATACTGGGGGGCCCGTAAATATTTTTAAATTTCTTCAATGTTTACCCCCTGTCAAAAGTTATGATTTTATTTCCAGTCTGAGTGTATGTGTGAAATTATTATTGGTTGCTGTGGTTTCTTGTTATAGTATCCAGTGCCAAGTGTTCATTGTTATATTTAATAAGGTACAAACTGCTTTTGTAGAGCATCCCATTATTACCTTGAGGTTGGCTTGGGCTGCTTTTGAAGACCTTGAAACGTTTGTTACAAATATGCCACAGCCAAATTCTTTGCCTATATAATGACAGTTATGAGATTAATGTCTATGAGCATAAGGTATTATGATCATGTATGATTAATGTCAGGCTATTGCATACCTCCTCTTACAGTGAAACCAAAGGAATGACTGGCTCCTTGTAACTTCATCCGAATTACTTTCCTTTCAAAACTAATAGAGAAAACAAGACAGTTAGTAAAAGCGGCTCGTTTAAAGACTATTTGACATTCCATCCCTTTCTCTCCTTCTCTCTATCCTTCTTCTCTATAATAGTACACTGTATTCCTTACCTAGGTATGTGAGGTACTAAGGATTTGTATTCCCCTCTTAGTCTCCTTGGTATCAGTGGACTGTATAAGATAGCAACTTATTGGGCATATGCTCTGAGTGTGTTAGTAATACCTTATGTATTTGTACAATATCCTTTTTTCTGGATGATCTAATAAGTTTTTGAGGTCATCCATGAGATCCTCTACAATGTACGAGCTGTTTAGAATTAAAAGAGGAAACTGAATTTGAAATCATAAATAAAGTCGATAATATTGTCATTTGTTATTTTGAGTCAAGTGCTTTATGTTTTATTATGATCCATAGGGCATCTTTTGCAATGATAACTTAGTTCAAGTTTAAATCTTTTGGCATGCAGTGATCCAAGAATATTAATGCATGTATTTTTATGGTTTGTGTACATAAGGGCTTGGTCTTATTTCTATTTCTGACCTTTCAAATCTCTTTAGACTCTCAACCAATGCGTCTCTCTCTTGCTGGTCCTCCAAAGCTATTTGAACCTGCAGTTACCATAAGAAAAATTTGTATTATTTAAAGATATTAGTAGCTCTAATAAGCTATTATACATGTTATTGTTAGGGAGCCACACCCCATTAGACTATGCTTACTGCTCTCCTAAATTGTGCAATCACAGTCTTGCTGCCATCAGAATAGTTGCTTGGCATTGGGAGAGCATTTTTAGTTGCTAGTTGACTGTCATTCTGCAGGTACACCGCCATTTATTTGCTGAATGTAGCTGGATGTAGTCTACGCTCCAAAGGACTGTTGTTTTGCGTTTCAAAACAACAAAGGTGTGGCTCATTAGGAATTATTATGATATTCATGCTCAAACCACAACCTTAGCTTAGTTTTATCCATCAAGCTTGCCGCCCACGTGTTTATAATTGCGGCCGCCTCCGTGTTTATTAATAACTTGCGATTTGGAATCCACTACAGAGTGTGTACTGCTTCTCTACTCTCTTGATCTAGAAGTAGCTCAGGAAACGCGTTTATCCCTGTCTGTATCTCTGGACCTTCTCCTCTCCAGACAGCACAGAGGCTAAATACTAGTTGGTGTGGGAGGCAACAGCCACTTGTACTAGCTGCTCCCGCGTCTGTTCTATTTGTCTCTACAAGTTTCTTTTATTCACCACTGAACAACCCTGAGCGCCCTCTGTAACTACAGCTAAACAGCGGCGCCTGCAGTGGCTGAGAAAGGTGAGTACGATTCTGTGCCGTTTTGCTAGTCTCTGTGAGTTAATTTATGTTTGGACACTATGATTTTTAGCTGAGGCACCCACCACTGTTGTGTAGCAAAAATTTGCTACCCCAGCCCTTCTTGTATACATAGTAGTAGCTATCTAAAGCTTGAGGCTGTCACTATTTATGATGCTGTGTACTCACTGTGTCCTCTTGGTTTGTGCTTGTTGGAATTCAGTGGACATGATGTTTCCCTCAGAGCTGCCATTCCTGTCATCTTTGACAAGCTGTAGACAGCAAGTCACTGATCCCTTATCTCTCTGTATGCATTGTAATTGTATATAGAGTTAATATGGAGTTAAGAGTTTCCCTGTCAATACCAAGAGTACTATAGTTTGTAGATTTGGCCACAAATTACAGAGAGGTGGGGGAGAGTTAGTGACTGGTGTGTGGATTGCATTAATTCTGGTGTAAAACTCTTAGTCATTAATGGCTCTTTTGTTTGAAAGAAATGTTAATAGGAATTGCTAATAGATTTGTACCGTATGCTTATAATCCGTACATACTCGTCCTTAGCCATTTTTATAAAATAAAAACTTTCCGGTTGTCACTTTTACACTTTCACTGTAACAGTATAGTTATAGTTTTATTATTTAGTAATCAGTATGTTATACGAATGTTTGTTATTTGGTTAAGCACACAATAGAACTTAATTCAATTACAAAGTATTGTTTAAAAGAGAAGTGCACTTTATTGAAGATAAACATTATGTAACACCCAATTAAAAATCAACGAGGCAGAACAGTAGATTGCAGAAGAAAGAAAAAGATATAAAAAAAGAATGTAATTAACATGAAAAATACTATCTTTTTTTCACTTGTAGTAAAATGGTGGAAGAGCTAAAGAAGAGATTTGAGTCGCCGCCAGAAACTTTAGATAAGATACCCGAATCTCCCGTGGGCCACCCTTTGAAATTATTCCCTGGACACATCAATGGCCTCAGTAGCTCTGATCTTACAAGAATGCCTTCAAAGAGAAAAAATTCGAAAAACCACGAAGAAGGAGACGTTGTGGTCACAGAATCAAAGAATTTGCCCAACATGCCCAACTTAGAGAAGAGCAACAATGACATGAGAGAAAAGCTTGAAGAGTTGGAGAAAGAAATGGCCTTACTCAGACAGCAAGTGAAGGAAGGACGGAAGAGAGAGAAACGTCTCCAACACAAAGTCAATCGATATGAAAATGCAACGAAAGCTAGACGGGTGAGAGAGAGAGAAAGAGAGTGAGAATTTCAAATCTCATTATATCACTTGATTATAATAGCTATGTTTTGACCACAGTCATGAGTAAATACTAGTGCATCTGCCAGTAATGAAAATGATTACTCTTCCGAAATATAATTTGTAGTACTAGACTAGAGAGAGAGAGAGCACAGATAGCCTTACTCTAAATAAAACATGTATAACATGTAATATACATGTGTACATGTATATTCAATGTAAATTAACATGAATCGTATGCCAAAGTGTGTGTGTGTGTGTTTTTAGAACCCCCAATAGGCTAATGAGGGTAGTGATTAGTGTTCGGCCACACCTTTAGCTTTGTGTGGGGATGGGAGGAAGAGTTGTTCTCTTGGGACTCTAGTTAGAATAATAATCAATTGCCTTGGAATATTCTGACATTCCTTTGTTTTAGTGGACATTTTTTCTTGTCAGTTATCTGTTGATGAAATGGGAGAGAATAATAAGAGAGAGAAATACCTACAAAGAGGGCGTGTGTGTGTGTGTGTATGTATGGGAGAAGGAAATGGCTTCCATTTTCTTAAATTTAAAGCATGCAATTATGGATAAACTAGTGAGTTGGTTTTAAATTTAAATTCTATAAAAAACACAAACATTACTTGAAAACGTATGCACTTGACTGTAGCTATACTGATCAACAAATGTTTACCATTTTTTATTGCCAAGAATATCATTACATCATGCTCACATATATACTAATATATATATATATCTACATGCATATAGCCTTTGACAGTATTGTGTATTCATATTTACTGGAATTGGGTTGCGTGGCATTACACTGACATGGAAGTGGAAATTATGTTTGGTACACATTACTAATAATTTGTATGTCGTGTTTTTTCTCACACTGACAGTCATAATAATGTCATAATGTGTTTGCTTTCATGAAATCCTCTCCCTTTCTGACTCAATTTCCTCTCTTTGTAGTTACTATATTCACTTTGAATCAATCACTTTCACTTTTGTATTTTCCCCTTCTCTCCCTCTCTCCTCCTCCTTTTTCTCCACCACAGGCACAAGGCTCACTCAAGAAATGGTCCAGCCTTCAACCCTCTGTACCTGAGCTCCATCAGTCCACAGTACTTGAAGACTTAGCAGATGCACAAGAAGTAAAGGAACACACACACATTTTTACTAATAACTAAATGTATGCATACTTTTTGCTCTGTTTGTGTTGTCGTATGTAAAACTAGATATAAGCTACACTGGTGACATTGATATGAACTTTGGGAGATACATGTACTTTGATTGTGCACTTTCAGTATCTTTTGAACACACAAACAGCGAATGGTTACTTGTGTGTGTGTTTATTATACTAGCGCTTGTACTCATTGACAACAACACCTCCCGATGCCATCTTATTTATAACATATGGTACAGTGTGCATGTATAGTGTATGTAAACTCTAACAGGGTGCATGTGTGTGTATGTGTGTTTTGTGATTGCTTTGTGATGAGAATCAAAAGAAAGAGTTTGTTTGTGATAGAGAGAGAGAGAGAGAGAGAGAGAGAGGGAGAGGGAGAGACAGAGAGACAGACAGAGAGGGAGGGAGAGGCAGAGAGGGAGAGAGAGACAGAGAGAGAGGAGACTAAAAGCTCCAAAATGAAAGTTCACTGCTTATCAGACGTGATCTGAGTCACTCCAATTACATATCTGTGACATTTACTCTCTTTGACTATAAATACAATGGCTTACTCACAAATCTCTTTGTTACTCAATGCACGACACCAGCAGCACATACTACCCTGTACATTGTACATATACAGTTAATAATATATGGTACTAGTAATGCATATATACTGTAGCATCATACTGTATGTCTGATAGTTGTGTTCCACTGTATTGTGATGCCCCCTTGTTTCTACTAATGGCATTTGGTGGCAAATAGAATCAGTTCAACTTCATTTGAAGTCTAATATTATCATCTGTACATGATTAGCACAAATAAATTTTGTTGCGTCCTCTACTCGTGTCACTAGCTCTCTCTCTCTCCCCCTCTCTCTCTCTTTAGTTGATACAGCAGTTTGTTGAGTCAGAGAGGTTGTATAAGAATGTTCTGGAAGCAATACATCACTTCTTTTACCAGCCCATCAAGACGATGGCAGTTTTCAAGAAAGATGTCATATCAACGCAACAGATACAAGCAATTTTTCTAAACAGGTACTTTATGCTCCTATCAGCCCCTTTCTAGTATCAAGAGTACATGTATGTACATGTACAGTTATCAATGTATCCGTTTGATAGTAATTTTACATGTGTAGTAGCTCTTAAGTAAATATTACAGTTCCTTATATAGTTCTTCTGAAAATACTACACTTCTTATAATATTGATAAAAAGAAGCCCCTTAGAGTACAAATACTGTCTCATTGTGTTCAGTAACATTGAGTAATTACCTCATGTATTGTTAAGGAGAACTTTCTAGTCTTTATCAGTATGAGATAACAAGTCTTATGGGCTAAATATGAGAGACATTTACCTCCTCAGAATGTAGTGTATTTTACATGGGCATGTATTAAATGATAATGAAGGAATTTTTCACTATGGGATGCCCATTGTCTATTGTTTTGCTGAGATTGCATGTGCACATACATGTATGTACATGTACATGTACATACATGTATGTGTGTTTGTGTACATGTACATGTATAGTAGGATTGAACCCTCCTCTCCTGTTATCCTTTATAGCTAGACTGATAGTTTTCTTTTGTGCAGTGTTTGCTTGTCTTGTGTATGATGGTAATCAAAACTGTCTCTAGTTGCGATTGTGTGGCTATAGTACATATAGCTGTGTGTTGTTGCCCCCACTAGCCGACATGGTATTCTCTAATTGGTGAGCTTGCAAACACACGTTAGCTGTGTCTAGCTACTCTACAGTTATAGGCATGGATTGAGGCGAGGGAGAGAAGATTGTTTGATATTTGTGTTCCATGTTGTGTAAGGCAGTGGCCTTATATAGACGACGAATATGCGATTAATTATTTAATTAACGTGTTGTTCTTTATCTTTATCTGTCTCTTTCTTCCTCTTTGTCTTTATCTCTCTCTCTCTCTTCCTCTCTCTCTCTCTCACTCTCTCTCTCTCTCTCCCCCCTCTTTCTCTCTCTCTTTCTCTCTCTCTCTCCCACTCTCTCTCTCTCTCTCTAGTCCTGAGATCTTAGCTCTCCACAGGTTACTATATGATCAGTTGTATCACCTTCGGTTTCTACCCAAAGACTCACGAGTCGAAGAGTTTCTGGTCATACTGGAAAGGACGGCTCCTTCATTCTCTCTGTATAGTGGATTCCAGTCCGAGTTCTTTATGCAGAACCTGCAGGTAAAAGAGAGGGAGAGAAGAGAAACACATCAATGATAGGCTATCAATAATAGGCTTACTATTGTAATAGATTGTACATTATTATTATTATTTTCTGGAAATGCGTATAGTTAAAATTACAGTGTATGGATAAATGTGTCTTTGCTGGCTTTAGTTGAAATAGTGTTTGGCTTTGTTTTGTATTATTATTGGGCATGGGCACATATTGTTTATGGTAGATGTAAGGAAACAGGAATATACATTGTACCTGTTGCCACTACAAAGAGAATGGATCATGTCTACAATAGAAGAGAGAGAGAGAAGGAGGATCAAAGAATTAGCTGTTGATGAAGGGATATAGTGAGAAAGATTAAAGAGTTAGGAGAGAAATGAAGTATATAAAGTACATACACAAAGCTAGAGAGAGGGAGAGAGAGAGAGAGAGAGAAAGGAAAGTGGTACAGAGAGGCAGGGAAGATGAAAGAGATGGACAGCCAAAGGGTCATAAGAAGTGTAAAGTGATATAATATGGTGAGGAATTGTTACTCTCTCCTGTAAGCCTTATTAGGATTAATCAGTCATTACTGTGTGACATCCCTTGCATACCAACTACTAAACTAGGCAGCCTCTACTTTGTATATCTCAATGTCTATATTAGCTGCTTAAGTGAAATTCCTTGTATTGACTTCTATATAAAGTTAGAGAGAGAGAGAGAGGTTAATTCAATAGTGGAGTATGGTATGAAGTTTTATGTCTCCAGATTAGCTAATGGGTTACAAATGTACTGTCTGTCATGGTCTTTACTTCCTGACCTCCTCATCTCGAATTTCTTTCACTCTCTTAAATTTCTATTATATACTATCAATTTTCTTTCTTTATTATTCAGAGAGAGTTGTCTCAATGGCGTACTAAGCCTCAGATCAGCATGCTACTCAATCATTTGGAGGCAAGGACAGAAGGAAAGTCACTAGCAGACCTAATGAGAGTTCCAGCAGGAAGGGTAAGAGGAAACACAGGAATAATAATTATTAATGTTTTGTGTTGTTTTTGTGTATAGTTATTGGAATACTCGAATCTCTTAAAGCCATTCCTTGAGGATCGAATCAAAGGGACAAGATATGTTAATGATGCAGTCATAAAAAGGATACAAGGACTTCACTCTTACATCACATCTCTACAAGTGGTAAGTGTTCACTGCCATTAGATCATGCATACATTACATACGTATCTACTATAAGTGGATTGTCTTGTCTATTGTACTTCCTTTTACATTACCCTATAAGCCTTTGTACCTTAATAAGGATATAGATTCATGCATGCTTTGTGCTACTAACCTACTACTGCTGTACTAATCTTGTAATAGTGATAATGCCTTATAACAAATTAGCTTCTCTTTCTAAACTCCTGTACAAAAATACCCTTTGGTACTTTTCTCTTGTACATGTAAATCTTCTCCAGTTTACAGCACCTAGTGCTAACTGCATCATCCTCTTGGAAGAGTTAAAACATTATAATTTGATATAACGTCGTAATATAATGTAAGTTAATGCAATAAGGATTTTATTTAGGATTTTAGTATGGTATTGTTGTCCATCTTGAGTTTGGTCCTTTTCATATTACCGTATCTGTTTAGCTTTATCAATATACCCTCATACCAAAGAGAGAGAGAGTGAAAGGAAGAGATATGGGCAGCGAGGGAGTATTATTAAGTAATGTAGGCTTTCATCCAGTGACATTGCATTTATGTTAATTTTGTGCCTAATTCAATTACATTGAAAATAGATTATTATTATTATTATTATTATTATTATTATTATTACTAATATCTTTATTCCCATTGCCCCTCTATATGTGTGTGTCTATTATCTTGTGTGTTAATAATGTGATCTCTCAGTCAGTTTTAACTATATACGACAATATTGACTGTTATTACATTACTGCTCTCTGTTTCCCTTCTCGTGTCCATAGGAGCTATTGAATGAGAAAGGAGAGTGGGAGAGCATAGCCGAGAAGCACAAGGTCTTTATGAAAATGTCAGCCGATGGTCCTATACCACTTGAGATGTTTAATCCAGACACTAAACTTGTAAAACAAGGTAGGGAAGTAGTGTATTAATAAGTGATCTCTTGTCATCTCTCTCTCTCTCTCTCTCTCTCTCTCTCTCTCTCTCTCTCTCTCTCTCTCTCTCTCAGGTCCTGTCATTGTAACAGAGAAAGGAAAAGAGATACAAAAGACTTGTTTCCTCTTCACTACTCATATAGCATTAGCTGACAAAACACAGAACCACCACATCATGTTTCCAGAGGTTTGTCTCACACACATTGTCATAATCATACATTCCCTACTCCATTATTCCTCTATTCTACTTTAGAATGCAATGATCTCGCTGGTTGGTGCCACGTTATATGAGAATGTTGACATGGGAGGACAGATAATACAAGCAGACATCAAATCAGGTAATTTAAAAAATCTTATTTCATTTATTTTTAAAAAATATTGTAAGACAAACCTTTTTTGATTTTATCAAAATAACCTCCTGTTACATAATTACGTATAATCATTCTAATTTTATCATTAATTGTACATGTGTGGGTGTGGGTGTTTTATCTCTAATTCTATCAGTGGAATTGTGTCCAAAATTCCCACTATCACAAACTCTGACCCCCATTATTCCCCACTCTCACAATCAATTAGATATCTACTCCTTACTATTATTAAATGGTCGGGGCACCATCAAAATGCCGTCTCTTATTTAACAGTCTCACTCCCCATCAATGTAGCCTTGTGCTACAGTCTAGTAGTTGCATGAGGAAATCAGTCAGTTATGGTATATGAGAATGGATGAGATATGGTCATTGCCTTATTTACTGTACCTGATAAACATTGCTTCTAATGGACCGATTAATGAATGAATGCCAAGGTCACATTTTTTGTGTAACGAGAGTCACATCTCAAGAGCCAATTTGTATAAGTAGTGAATGCCACTGTATTCATGCAAGTATTGTACATGCATGTATACATATATAAAAAATACAATTATGCAATTAAAATACAATTAAATACAATTAAATACAATTAAACACAATTGTACATGTACTCTGGCCTATTGTATTATGTGCCATATCTCAGTGTAGTATTACTATTAAAGTAAGCACAGTGGTATTTCACTGGTTAACTTATTAATTTATTTGTAGGTCTTGAGCAGGATATGTTGGGTTTTCGTATTAATTTTACTGGAGAGCACCTCGTGCTAAGAGTTGGTAGACCCAATGAGAAGAAGCAGTGGGTGGAGCATATACATAAGGTGGATCAAATGCGATCATGATTTTGATTTTGATTTTGATTTTGATTTGATTTAGACACTCGAGGCAATCAATATCAATGAATCTGATCTCGACCTTGAGAACATGTAAGTCACCTTTAATGATTATCGAAAGAAAACTTTTATCATTCTCTTTCCTTCTCCTTTCTCTCCTAATTTGTCAATCACCATCTCTTTACATCACAGAATACCCGATGTCCCAAAAGTAAGTGACCGAATCTACATATAAGTACATGCACACAGAGCATGATGATAATTAGTCATTCTAATTGATTTAAAAAAACAAGGAAAGATTAAGAAGGGGAACAACATACAACCAGCCATTACTCATATCCAGTCATCACTCATGCATATATATACACTTTAGTCATACATTATTTCCCCAGTAATGTTTGTGGTAGCCTATAAAGTTAAGGATGTGGTTTTAGACCGTACAGTGTAGCCAGTTTCATTCCTTTCTGTATCGTACAGTGTACATACATGTATTATCTCTGTGTTTATGTGCATGACTTTTATTCGTATGTCATCGCAGTGAAGTCATGTACTATGTTTACTAAATAGAGCCTCGCTGGTCGTGCACCCTACACTTTGACACTTAGCTTTAATATGATAAATCACTTGTATGGGTGCTATTATTGATTGTGTGTCATACGTGTTACTGAGTGCCAGTTTTGTTTAGCCTGTAGCAAAGTTAATTACTTATGCAGCATAACTAACCAGGAGTACTGTATACTGTAAATGTTGAAAGATGGATCATGCATGTAGACTATTCCAGTCTGCGTAGTTTTCACTAAAGTGTCTACGAAAGATTTAAGATTGTACTGCCTTGTGTCTGTTGCATATTGATGTCCTTATGCTGTGTAGAAAGTTTCAGTTTAGCATTTTTTTCAAAAACTAGCTAATTTTGAAAAAAAGCATGGACTATTATAGCCTATGGTTTTTTCCAAAAAATGGCTCCAAAATCATCCCAAATTTTTATTACATTTTCTGATACATATTGATGTCCTTATGCTGTGTAGAAAGTTTGAGCGAATTCCTACTTCAATTTTTCAAGTTACGGCCATTTCAGGAAAAATGCCAAAATTTTGAAAAGTACCCAAGGCTATATAGCCTGTGGTTTTTTCCAAAAAATGGCTCCGAAATCACCCCCAATTTTTATTAAATTTTCTGATGCGTAGTGTTGTCCTTATGCTGTGTAGAAAGTTTGAGTTGATTCCGACGAGAAATTCCAGAGTTATTAGCATTTTTCAAAAACTAGCTAATTTTGAAAAAAAGCATGGACTATAGCCCATGGTTTTTCCAAAAAATGGCTCCGAAATCACCCCCAATTTTTATTACATTTTCTGATGCATATTGATGTACTTATGCTATGTAGAAAGTTTGAGCTCATTCAGACTTCAATTTTTCAAGTTACGGCCATTAAAAAAAAACGGCAAAAATCTGAAAAATACTCAAGGCTATAGCCCATGGTTTTTTCCAAAAAATGGCTCCAAAATCACCCCCAATTTTTATTACATTTTCTGATGCGTATTGATGTCCTTATGCTGTGTGGAAAGTTTGAGGCGATTCTGACAAATATTTTTTGAGTTATTAAAATTTTTTTAAATGAGTCAATTTTTGAAAAAGACCCATATAGCCCATGGTTTTTTCCGAAAAATGGCTTCGAAATCACCCCCAATTTTTATTACATTTTCTGATACATATCTATGTCCTTAAACTGTGTAGAAAATTTGAGTTGATTCCAAGCAGACATTTCCGAGTTATAATTGGTTATAAATTTATAATGCATTCATTTTGTTGACAGATTGCTGCCGCATCTCTTGAAAAACTCTTCCAGCATCTAACAAACCCTCAGCACGAGGACTTCATTGATGTGTTCCTCAATACCTATCCGTCATTCACTACACCAAAAGACGTGTTGACTGCCCTCTTGAACTGCATCGATGACCCAAAGGAGAAGACACCAGATCCTACATGTGCCATTCAAGTATGCAACAATACATAATGTGTATAATAGTAATTGCACGTGATGCATTTTATTCGTAATAATTAATAAGTTGTTGTGTTTGTTTGTGAAATTATTGTTTGTTTATTTTTTGTTTGTTTATCAATGCTTTAGACTGGCCCTAATCACGTTTTCACTTTTAACATGGAAGGTAATCAGGAGTCTTGTATACACATAGACATCAATGATTCTTGTTTGTTTATTTTATGCAGATAATATGGATGCAATCAGCTGCAATACCTCAATATCGGCAACTTCACAGAACTATTCCGACTCCGGATCAGATTCCGGTAATCATCTCTCTCCTTTTCATTTTTCTCTTCTCCCTCTCCTCCATTTAAATTATTTTATCCTTTTTTGTCTCTATAGATTCCCCAGTTGATAGTCCAGATACTCCTCGGAGGCAGATCCCTGCCCCCTCTCTCTCCGGCAGTGTAGTCACGCCCACAAGAGAAAACCCTCGACCAGTTCACGAGGTCATTAATCGTGCTAGCATTAGCACCGATTCAGACTCCTCCCCCTACACCTCGGGAGTTCCAATAGCCGTCGACACGAAGAGAGAGGCCGAGAACGGCTGGCAGGAACCCGATCAAGCTCTCGTTCCATCTTCAGTCCCTACTAAAACCCTCGAAGGGACTTTCCTCCCGTTCCATCGCCCGGTGAGCCGAGAGAGCGGTAACTATGGAGACACGGAGGAAGAGGACTTCCCCCCGATGTCCCTCCCGGTTGGACACAGCTTCAGCATGTCTCAGCCAGAGCCTAGCATTGACTCCATGTTTGACGATACTCTTCAGAGACTTAGAAAATCAGAAGATCTCACGCCACTTGATAAGATAGTCATGTCCCCTCCTCCTCCTCGCTGCCTCACTCCTCAGGATTCTTACACTCGTATCACTAAAGACCTTGACGGGGCCCAGGAAATAGTGAGTAGTATGATCTTTAGTCTACAAGAGCCGTCTCCGCCCAGAGAACCGATTAAGGAGTCGCCACAAGAAGAGGACGAAGATGAGGTTTATGATGCTGTGGAGGACGAGGATAATTATCAGAAATACACGGGTAAAGTCAGAGCCAGACACAACTCGGTTCATCCGACTTCGGAGCGACTCTCAAACGCTTCCAATCTCTCATTTTCAGAGCCAGACCTCGTGGCGCTGTCCGTTAAACCTCGTGGCAGAGAACCCAATAAATCAATAACGACGACCACCACGCCCAGCAGAGGGACTGGTACTTTGGAGAGGTCTCCTGGTGTCGAGGACGAGCTTCTCTGCAGTCTTCCGGCGACCATAGCTCGCAAATTTGCCGACCCTTCTCCCACTCACCTCCAAGCACCTAGTCCTAGGCGTACCGGTCGGTTTAGTCTTGGTTTCAATAAAAAGAAAACAGGTGATAAACAGTCGAGAGGGAAGTCGGCCTCCGTCAGCAACCAGCTTCACCCCTCTAGCTCTCTCTACTTCATGTCTCCGGAGCCTCAGCGAAAAGCCTTTACATCACCGGCAAAAGGTCTTGGTGGGCTCTTCAAGAAGAAAGAGAGAGGGAAGCTTAACAAGTCCTTGAGTTCTAATTTCACTGATGGCGGCGGCGGCCCTGTGGTCCCGGAAACACCTCGGAAATCCTCAAAGGTTCGACGTAACACTTCTCTTGGTCCTACTAGCAGACTACCTCCTAGATACAGCAACATTGATGACCTTATATCAAGTAAGGGGGAAGGATGGATTGTAATGGATGACATCTATTTTGACATGCATTATTAATTACAGCATATGTGTATGTGTATATTATATTTCTTTCTGCCCTTCTTCTTTCCAGGTCCTATAAGGTCTCGTGGTGATAGATCTGATGACGCGTCTCCTTCCAACAAGAGAAAGCTCAGTAGCAAGAACTTGATGCTCGCTAAAAAAATATTCCGTGTCCTCATGAAGTGGATTGAAGTGCATTTTGAGGTAACAACAAATGCAGAATATTATTATTATTATTCTATTATAAGTAGCTTATTCATGTATATTATGATAGCTAAATGTACTTTATTTTTGTGTAATGAATATTATTTTAATAACCTTTTCTCTTTCTTTCTTCTCTTTATCTTTTCATTTTCATAGGATTTCAAGGAGCCTGAGGTTACTGGCCTTTTAGAAGAATTCTTACAAAAAACAATTGAGAGTGATACTGAGGAGTCCCAGCTAGCAATAGACACACTAGAGTCAGTGACTACAGTATCTCTTGATGATATTTAGCCTTTCCTTCCCCTTAATAGGGTTCTTAGCTTTTATCAGAATACCTTCAAGCATGATAACAACAGCTTTGGAAACCTCTTGGCTCGAGTGACAACTCTTGATGTTAGCTTAAACAATAATAATAATAATAATGATAATAACAATGATGATTGATAATAGTACCATTAAGATTATCTCTTTTTCTCTCATTCTTAGGTGACAATCTTAGAAGACATAGACTGGGAGAGGCCAGCAAAAGTCATTGTTGACAAGGAACTGGATCTTTGCTCAAAGACATCAAGAGAGTCCGGCTTCCTTAAAACCATCTCTGAGCAAATCACTCTAATCCTTTTTGCTCACTATAATGCCATACTGAGAAGGTAAAGTAGTAATATAGTGGAATAAATGTTCTAGCATTGTCCTAGTACATGTAATTATTAGAAGGCCCATTCTATAAATTACGTTTTTGTTCTTGTAGTGAGCTCCTTAACTGCAACTGGAAGAAGAAAGACAAAGATAGACTAGCTCCAAACGTCTGTAGAATGATCAAATTTACAAACGAGGTACTTAAAGTTGACATACTGTACATTAATAACTAAATGAAAAGGAATAGTGCTATTAGCTGATGTACATGTAGCTACTGCAGTGTAGTTTATGAACTTTATATATTCATCATATCATTTCCCTATAGATGAGTCTGTGGATATGCACTGAAGTATTAAGACGTGATACTGTTGCTAATAGGGCACTAGTTATTGAGCACTTCGTGTGTATTGCTTGGCACTGCTTTAAGCATCACGACATGCACAGTGTGATGACAATAACACTTGCTCTCTCTTCCTCCTGCATAAAGAGACTATCCAAAACATGGGACGCAGTTGAAAGAAAGGTAAGCACACGATCGTGAATGCACAAATCATGCAATACTAGTAATGGGCATGTACTGTGTTTATAATTGAATATTAGGGAGTCAAATATTATTATTCATTTCTTTTAGTCGCGTCAGAGATATGAGAAGTTAAAGGATATAACTGACCTTCACGAGAAATGCAAGAAACTGCGTGAAAGATTAGAAGAGTAAGTTAACTTTGGAACCTCATATTTTTTGTTAAAATTTGAGATACTTTAAGGTTGCCTAGAAATATGTTAATTTTTGTGATCAAAACTTGCACGATCAACTACCCATTTGGGATGGGCTTTACTTTTTTTTTTTTTCTTTTTCCTTAGAATCACAGCCGCTGAATTAGAGAAGACAGGGTAAGTCTTTTAAACCTCACTGTCCCCCTTTACTCTTGTCCCCTCCTTTAGTGATCTTCCGTCAGCACTACCATATGTCGGAGCATGCCTGGAACAAATATATTGTCTTGATATTGGAGTCAAGACATACAATAGTGATGGTCTTGTTAACTTTGCTAAAATGACCAAGGTTAGCACTCCATTTTGAATTGCAGTTACTGATTTTTCCTGTACTATGTTCTATAAATTAATACTTTTAAGTCCTGTGTTACTATTATTTTTACTTTTTCTCTTCTTCTACAGCTATCTTCTATGATCGATGGTGTTCTACAATACCAAAGAATGCCCTATGACTTTGCACCTAGACTAGATGTAAGTATACACTGTACATGTGTTAATTAATAAATTTTATACTTTGATTTATTCCACCAGATTATTGCATACATTACATCAGTGAAGCCTTTCTCGGATAACCAACTTTATGACATGTCTGTAGCTAAAGAACCTAGCAAAAGATGACCCGTTTCTCCTCCTAACTAACACCTTTCCTATTCCCTTACACATGTATTTTTCCTTGACATACAGTATTGAGTTTGTGTAGAATTGCATTATTATTCTTGTTATTATTTTATCATTATTGTTATTATTATTTTATTATATATTAATTTGTGTATTATGATGTATCATGACATAAATATTTAAGTGCACCAATTTCTTATTTTTTAATGATTATCCATATAAAAATTGTAGTATATAATAATAATAATGCATGTAAGTGTCCAACACAATAAGCAAGTTATTTTAAATGATAGAGTCCTATTACAATCAGTACACAAAGAAGAGATGAGAATAATATGGCGAGGATTGCAATGAGATGGAGTGTCCTTTTATTCTTTCCGTTAAGCTCTTGTATGGCACCAAGAGACTCCATTAGTAGTCGGTCCTATCAAGTTAATGTAAAACACACACGATAATAAAAATATAAAACACTTTGATCATTCATTGATTTAGTTTACTTTGTTCAGAACTAAAATAGTGTCATCTTTTCCTTTAATCACCTACAAGAAAGCAATTGAAATAAATTTCGAATGTGTTTCAAAGACTAACAAAACTTTTTACGACTACTTACAAAATTAAATTAAATTTTAATTTTCTGTCTGTAACCTTACCATTGTTTTAACAGCATCAGGTATAACTTTTTTGACCTCTTGAGCTAGAAGCCCAACCTCTTTAGTGACCTCTTTCTCTTTCTCTTCCCCAAAGGCGCCATACTTGAAAACATAACTGTAGAGGGTCAGCCTCTCAACGTTTGTCAACATTTCTGAAGTATTAATCTAAAGAGAAAAATAGAAAAGAGAAAAGGTTATTAATAGATTAGCTAGTATGATATGTTAATTCTTTTTACTTGTGTAATGTCAGTCTTCAAACGAGCATCAGATGGCTGTAATATTTGACCTGTTACCTGTACATTACCCACGACAGTAAGTGCTTCATCAGGTGACTCTGTATTAATCCCAACTTTACCCTAAATACAAACACCAAAACTATATCAATAGTTTGTCTATAATACTCTTTGTCTTACCTGATAGAACACAGTGTCACTACCACTCGAGCTGGCTCCTTTCAGCCACGTTGCATCACCTTCATTATCAAACTGTCCAGGATTAGAAGCCTGTAAATAAAGAAACAAGCAATAAGACTCAAATAAGAGACAATATTAACAATATTAATGTATAGCTATATAGCATCACACGCAGTACTGCTATTGTACCAGCTTACTCTAACAATAATTCTTTCAGACACATAAGCAACCACTGGATAATTACCAGTAGAAGTATAAGCATGGAGTGAAACAACCAAAGAGAAATACCTAAACAATATATGAATTTGAATCATGTACAGTATGTACATATATGTATGTAGTAAGGTGTGGTTGGATGCACTGACCTTTGGTCAGGGTTTGGTTTGCCTCTTTTCCTCATATTATTAGCTGTTGTCTCACTAGAAGAAAAACAGTGATAGTTTACGACAGTACGTTGAACGATAACAATCATTAAGCACAGCATGTACATACATGCATACAAGTATGGCACGAGTGTTTATGTATGTGTGTGTCATAGGACTTGTGCAATACCTAAAGTGTAGACGACAGGCACTAGCTTTCACTAGCTGATCTGGAAAATTTGGGAGATCAATCCTAGAATGAGAAGCAATTGAAAAGTGAAACCACATTTGGGACACAAACCATTACATCAACAGACAAAAGATAAACTCAGAGTGACATACACAATCATTCTGAAGTAGGAGCAAATATAACTCTTATACTATGACCTAATAAAGTTATGTGTTTTGACTTAGAACAATCTTAACTGAGTACACATTGAAACCTGATGATAAGCAGTACCAGGGCACTATATTTCATACATCTCTCTCTCTCTCTCTAATATATTCATAGTGTATTACTAACACAAGTACATTAGACCAAAGGTATTAAATAATCAGGTAAGCTTAAAGATACTGTGATTCTACCAATTCTATTTTCTAAAACACAATATTAAGAGCTTGAAATAATAATTCATCAACTCACAGCAGTGATTCGTAAGGTAGCTTCGACCTGTCAGTGCGTGACATCTCTATCATTATTATTGATTCGGGAGCTTCAAACTATAAGCTATTGATTAAAGGGAAATCAAGGATAAAGATGCATTCACCTTCATTCCATATAAGTGAAGACCAAAGCAATTGATGAGCTCTAACTTATGACCGTTTGCCTGTAATTGAAGCACAAGTATTCTTGCTATTAAGGACAATGATACAGCTTACATTGGTTTTCACATATTTTGGGACTCTGGGTAGCTTAAGTTGCACCGATATTTGGAAGTGGTTCTTCTTTTGACACACAAAGCTCTCGTCCCATTGAGAATAATTGAAACCTTTATCAGCTTCGACTGCAAATCCGCAAGTCACTTCATCATGGTTTCTTTATAGAATGAAAAAAAAACATAAAAACAAACATTGCAATCATTCTAGTTATTTCCTCCCATCTGCTTTCTATAGCTCTATACATCCAGTTACTTACATGTCTTGCATTGATCTATCACTCATACAGTACCAGCTATCAACTTTGAATGCCTGCCAGCTGAGGCTCTGCTGCTGCTGCTGCCCGTTGCTTCCTTGAATTGCTGTCCCACTCTCTCCAGTGCAAGGTTCCATCATGAAACAGACATCGTCAGATGAAGGAGGTGGGGGAGGCTGCTGTAGGCCAGGATGAAGAGAATCTTGATTGTTCCCGCCACCAATAGCCTGCTCTGAGAGCGGGGGACAGTATAGTGGACACATTGCGACTGAGTTGATGGAATAGTTCAAAAGCGAGGAAGATTCATTGCCTGACAGCTCGTGTGTGATGGTTGTAATTGTGCTTGGATATTCATTTGTCTGTGATGACAAATAGGAAAGCATGAAAGTGTTGAATATCATGAATAACAATCATGTGAGATTGAAATTTAATAGAAAACAACTCACTGAATTGCAAAGAGGAGATGGCTCATAGCAGAGATGCTGCACACTGCAGTCATTGCTATTTCCTCCAGCTCCTCCTCCTCCTATTGCCTGCTGTTCTCTTGTTGAATAATTCAGAATATTACCATTGCATCCACCAGAGGCAGGAGCTGCATGTGACATATCTTGAGTGTAGACCAGAGCCATTCCTATTGCTGATAATCATATGCAGTGATAGAACCAGCATTTCTTTTATAGCCAGCCTTCCCTACATCCGTTTTCCTGCTCAGCTATACGTAATAGGTTTATTTTCATTGACCACATTTACCACAAAATGTTTCCATTTGCTAAGAAATCGAAAGCTGAGGTGGGACGGCTAGACTCAATTCGCTCATATAAATTCTCTGAAAGAGTACAAGGGGAGGATACAGTAGGCAATTCGATTGAACCGCAGCAAAGCAGTCCCTTTCAGCATTGGTTTTATAGTCAGCATTCCTTTCTCAAACCACCAGTTTCAGTTCATGAATGCTATACCAGCACGTGTTTAAAAACTACGGAATAAAAATACTAGATCTGTGTCCAGTAAATTTGTAATGGGCGTGGTTGTTATCACGTGATAACAAAATGGCGGCTTTTAGGAAGGCTTTTGTTTACAAGAGCTCAGGATTCCTCCAAGGAGCAACTGAAATAACAAAGAGAGAACTGCGAAGCTGGAAAATTGTCAGAACCATTTCTTCGACATCTGCTAAGCAAGCAGCACCACCAGTGTTAGTTTAAGTTATGATTTTGTGTTATTTTTATTGAGAGGTTTGTGATACAGTCCACTCTCTCCAGCTGTCAGGTTTCTAATTGATGCAAACCCACACCTCAATCCAGCCGATATACCAAGCACAGGACCAAAAGGACGCCTGCTTAAAGGGTAACATTTATACATGTACATGTAATGTATGTACGTGGACATGCAGTGGGAAATTTTGAGTCAAAATTACATTTTATTTATCTCTAATATATAAGGGGGCAAATTTATAATGCATTAATTTTAAGATCATCTAATTTCTTACTACAGTGATGTACTAAAGTATATGGATGATTTAAAAAGTGGCAAAGCAGCTCCGACTAAAGGGCCAGGATTGCCTCCAGTAGAAAGCCCATCAGGTGATTCTGGTCTTAGATATGTTGATATACCACTCAATAATATGAGGAAAACAATAGCGAAACGTTTAACAGCTTCTAAGGTAAATCTTGCATATTCACATACTATCTTATTCATGTTTTATTGTATGAGTAGTACATCTGTTCTCTTTTTCTCTCTTTCTTTTCCTCTCTGTCTCTGTCTGTCTGTCTGTCTGTCTGTCTCTCTCTCTCTGTCTCTCCCCTTCTCTCTCTCTCTCCCCCCTTCTCTCTCTCTCCCCTCCCTCTCTCTCTCTTTCTTCTTTGTGTTATTTAGAGAGATATACCTTACACATATGCTGTTATTGATTGTGCTGTTGATCAGTTAATGGAGCTTAGGAAGAGAATATTAAATGGTAAGACTACATGTACATGTACATGTAGTCTGCCTTAATAGTGCATACATGTACATGTATTGCTTGCTATTCCATTGCACCCATAACTTCAATATTTATTTTACCAAGAAGTACATTTTATTATCTACAGGCATAGGGTCAATTACATTAAAAGCAATTATATACAATACAATTACTACTATTGCAGGATAATTTTGATAGTACTATTGCTATTGGCATTTAAGTCCTGTATTTTGGCCAAATTTTTTAATTTGGAGTAACTTTAAAAATTCATAAAAAATCTAGATTTGATCGGAATCAGCTGAAACTTTCTACACAACATAAGAACATGTATACGCATCAGAAAATATTATAAAAATGGAGAATTCTCTACTTTTTATTTTTGGTGAAATTTGACCAAAGTCCCTGTACTACAGTACAGGGACTTTTACCCGATTTTTTAGCAACTTTAAAAATTCGTAAAAAATCTAGATTTGATCAGAATCAGCTGAAACTTTCTACACAACATAAGAACATGTATATGCATCAGAAAATATTATAAAAATGGAGAATTCTCTACTTTTTATTTTTGGTGAAATTTGACCAAAGTCCCTGTACTACAGTACAGGGACTTTTACCCGATTTTTTAGCAACTTTAAAAATTCGTAAAAAATCTAGATTTGATCAGAATCAGCTGAAACTTTCTACACAACATAAGAACATGTATATGCATCAGAAAATATTATAAAAATGGAGAATTCTCTACTTTTTATTTTTGGTGAAAATTGACCAAAGTCCCTGCACTATAGTACAGGGACTTTTTACTCGATTTTGGAGCAACTTAAAAAATTTGTTAAAGCTACTATTAAATTTTACAATGGATTTCAATTACCCCACTAATCCTGTCTCAACATATACATGTACATAATGTCTGCTCCTATCATTTTATTATTATTATTTATTTATTTTTTGCTTCAGAAACTGGAAATAAAGTCAGTGTTAACGACATAATTATTAAAGCAGTTGCTTCTACTTTAGAGGTAAGTTGTAATAATAATAATACTAATAATACTAATAATAATAATAATAATAATAATAATAATAATTGGAGATTAACATCAAAGTAGAGCACATACAGAAGACTGCGTTATTGGGATCTGCACGAATTCGGAGGAGACATTTAAATATGTAATTGTGTATCATAGTCTGTTTGTTATGGACTGATACTGAGTTTGTACCAACTTGTTAGTTGTGATTATATTAAATAATAATAATAATAATAATAATAATAATAATAATAATAATAATAATAATAATGAAATAATTCCTCCTCTAGCAACTCCCTGAGTCAAATTCAATGTGGACCCCTGAAGGAGACCTTGAGAAACTGCCTAATGTTGATGTAGCTGTTGCTGTAGCAATAGAGGGTGGGCTCATCACCCCTATCATCAGGAATACCAATGCTTTGTCAATAGTAGAGATATCGTCACAAATTAAGGTAAATATTTTTGTTTTTGGTGGACTCTTATTGTGATTTTGAAATTGTGATTTTGAAATGCCACGTAGAAAATAAAGTTTGAAAGTTTTATATTGAAAGCTGCTTTATATTAAAGTTTCCTGATTGCAAATTTTTGTCAGATAGACATTCAATTTTTTATTCTGGTGCACTAATGGATTTTGATTTTTGACATTATATTGCATTGTCCATGTATTTTGATTGCTCCTTTGTAATTTATAAATTAGAGTCTGGCTGATAAAGCAAGAGATGGGAAACTACAGCCTCATGAATATCAAGGAGGAACATTCTGGTAAACTTTACTAATGTGTACATGCTCTGTATAATAATACACACTAATTGATCACTAATCATTATGAGAGTTCCTTGTTGGCAGACAGCATTCACATTACAATATCAACTTTCAGTGCTATCACTTTATTGAACATAATATATATGATCATTATATTAGCATAATATTATTTATTTATTGATTTTTTATCATTTATTCCTGTTAGTGTTTCTAATCTCGGTATGTACGGCATATCAGAATTTACTGCCATCATAAACCCTCCCCAGTCGGCCATCTTAGCCATTGGACGGATTCATACGATACCTTCCATTGGACCAGATGAGACTTTGAGTGGTGTCACTAAAACTATTACAGCAACACTCTCGTGTGACACTCGTGTCATGGACTACGAGTTGTCATGCAAATGGATGTCATTGTTCAAGAAGAATATAGAACACCCTTTCGTACTAGGAATATAGCTGTTATATCATGATAGAAAAAGCCAAAAAAAAAATAATTGTTTAATATTTCCATAATAATAATAATAATAATAATAATAATAATAATAATAATAACACAATGGGTAAAACTGAATAATAATAAATTAATAATAATAATAATAATAATAATACACCTAGTTCCAGTCAAGGTCATTATTGAAAGATTATGCTGGAGATGCTGAATCATTAGATAGTGCATCAAAAACCTTAACACGATATAAAAGAGTAGTACTTTGAATGACTTATAATGGATGCTTACTGATCTGATTCCGGGTAGATTCAAAGCATGCCCTATCACTGGTAGTCTTCTTAGAAACATAATAGCATATGGAATAATGCCTCTGAATGTAATAAAAGAAATTAGAATTTGCATCCAAAATAAAATAATTGAATTTTGTTTTTAGTACCTGAATAATAGAAAGGCTCCGTAGGTTTCTACGATCATTCCAATTAGGGCCCAGCCACAGAGAACTATAAAGATTCCTACGGCAAAGAAAGCCGTCCCTTTTAGCTTGTGAGACTGAAAGAAGAATGTAGCAGTCTTTTGAGGACCAATGATGAATAGTATACCGGCAATAAAAAGAATCTGGAAAAATAGAGTTGTCATTAATCAGAATCCACAAAAAAGTAATAATTAATTTTTTAAAGTGGCCCCAAACCTTACATACCATATTGTAAGAATTACTAACAAGGTAGCAGTACATTCAGTAATGGGGTGTATGTAAACGTGTTTTCTTACATTTCCAATAGCTAATAAACCTGAATCAAAGAATAATATGACACCAAGGAAGAGGAGACCAAGGCCAAAAGCAACCAGCCCTAGACCAATCTCTAGACAAAAAGATCAGTGAGTATGTCCATGAGAAAAATAGATTGCAACTCACTCTGAAAATCAGTCAGATCTACAGATATCATGATTCTTTTCTTTCTGTGTTCTCAGCTTTCAAACAATGAAGACTTTTGGTTTACCTGTGTGGGTCAAGAATAGGCGTGGCATGTACACTAACCACACCCTCTACACGTGTTGCCTCGTGTTGAAATTGAATGAATGCAGCTGTAGAGAACCGAGCATGGAAAGGAGTGTTTTTAACAGGCAACCCGGTAAGCTCAGTCACCATTGATCTATCTTATCATATTCCACACAGCTAGGGCGCTAATACTAGACCTACAGGCTCCAATGAGCCCCGCTACCGCCTCTAATGTACACACGGCTCTGAGGGACGTAGTGAGCTTTCTAGTTCATTTATTGGGACCTGGGAGAGTCCCTCTGTTTTCACTCTCAGTATTAAGGACATACACTGAGGTATGAAAACAAATTAGTAATAACGATGATTGATTGATCTATCATTTCTCATTTTTTGTTTGGAATTTACGATTCGTTGTAGTGGGTATTAAATAATTTGGGTGTAATAATTAATTTCTTTATTTAGTGTCTGTTTCCACTGCAACCACTCAAGGGAAACTATTCACGTGTACAGAGTGCACTACTTGAGCTGTACAGTATAACCAATCGGTACATAGGAGGGAAGGAAGGAGGAGGAGGAGTTGCAAGACACTCATCATTGATAAGAGGTAGTCTATTGGATGGTATGCAAGAAGCTTTGAGTCAATTCCAACGTCTTCTACAAGCAACCAAACAAAACAATGTAAAGTATTATTATTATTCGATATATTACTTATCGGTACACAAATTTTAGTGGATAATGTCATCTCTTCCTTTATGCATGTATAAGTAATGTTTTTGTTGTGTGCAAATTTGTGTTGCTACTTTAGATTTTTAATGGAATTGTATTATTGTACATGAGTGTGCAGCTGTTTTGTAATTTAAGTGATAGGGTGTGTGTATGTCACATTGTACTGCTGTCATGTTCACATGCTTCTTGATTAAACTTAATCTTGTTCAGGTTCCAATTATGGAGAAGGCCATTGTTCATTTTTCTCTCTCTCTCTCTCTCTTTCTCTCTCAGAGTCAATCTGGTTCTTCTATTAATAGCTACTGTCCATCACAGATAGAGATTATCATACTAACAGCTCAACCGACACACTCCATACAGCAGTCGCTAGAGAGGGTAGTGGACCAGCTGGACTTGGAGAATTTGAAAAAGATACAAGTAGTCAGCATAAACGATCCAGAAAAACCAGACAAGGATCATGAGCTAGAGGAATTGTCTCAATCCACTAGTAGCCCGAATGAGCTAAGTATGTACATGTACTTATACTATAATCCCATCATGGCATAGTGTATGTGCCCACTACTCTACCATTGATCTTACATTTATAGGTTTGAGTGTATTTGATGTTATCAGGTGTACTAATGATGTACCTAGTTTACAGGGTCTCTTCAAGACATGGCTCTATGACTGCAGTACAGATGTTGAGCATATACAGATAGTCCTACCATCTTCCTCTGCTGGAGTGGTGACTGGTGCTAGAGTTAATGATGAAAATAGGATCATTATTAAGTGTGATGTGTGGGAGAGGATGCTTGATCCTTCATGTCTGCCTACTGCTTTCTCTAAAAATCTGGTTAGTGCAATCATTTATTATAATGATAAGTACTTGTTTTAAAAAGCATATTGTATACTGGAAGCATGACTTCAAGCAAAGCATGCTAAGTGAATTAGAAATTACATATGGAACAACTTCAAAATTTATTTTAAAAATCTAATTTTTGATTGGAAATTTAGAATCTACTCAAAACTTTTAAGTAATGTACGGTACACGTATACGCATTAGAAAATTTAATTAAAATGTTTGCCTTAGTTTTGCTCAATTTTGACTATTATTATGATGATGATTTCTATATAGACCATCCAGACAGGATCTTCAGTTGTTTCCCAAACTCAGTCCTCTGGACGTGGCAGTACAACTCACACAGTTCCAGTGTACCGATTGAAGTCGATTGGTACCGTCTCGTGCGACGGAGTCTGTGAGTCTGTGGTATACGGTAGTCCATGTATCGTGAGGAGCACTTGCTGTTGGAAACTGGACTGGGATGAGCTGGAGACTAACCAGCAGCACTTTCAAGCACTGTGCTATCAACTTAAAGAAAGAGTAAGAGAGAGAGAGAGGGGGGAGAGAGAGAGGGAGAGAGAGAGGAGGGGGAATACGTATAAATGACCATTGTATTAGAATCAAGGGCTCCTTTTAGCTACTGATGATTCCTTTGGTTCATCAGTTGCTTCATCTCCTCCGGTCCAAGTGAAGGCAAACTACATACTCATTCCATCTCCTTCACCAGCTTCGTTATTACTCAAGGTAACTATTAATTTTTAAGAGCCAATTTGAGCACAAAAATATCTTGCATAAAAATTTCTCATACATTGATTGAGCCACTTTTATTCTATCATTCTCTTCAAGGCTGTTGTATGCAATGAGTTGCTCCTCCCTATTGACCTTGGTGAAGATGAAGTAGTTCACCTATTACCAGAATCAATAGACACGCTTGGAGAATCACTGTCCAAGGTCAGACTAGTAGCTATTACGTGTGAATACATTTATGTATCTCTTACAGCTAGAGCATCATGAGATATACAACCCCTTGAACATACATTCAGGGTTATATACAGTAATCAATAGCTCAACCAGTGATCAGAGGAGTAGATCATCCACAGAAACAGGGAGAGGGAGAGGAAGAGGAAGAGGAGGATCAAGGGCTGGACTCTCAAAGAGGAAATCAACTGAAACGGTAACCCACTCTCTGTGAATGGGGGGGGGGCTACCTTATTAAAGTGTATTTTAATAATGTAGTAACCCATCATTAAAGTTATAAAGTTCCTAATAATACATTTTGCTGTATTCTGTAGATTGCAAGTTCTGATAGTAAGAGGATGCCATCTACTGATCCAGTCCCTCTTACTGTTAGTACTGGTGCTTCCATTGGAAGGCCCAGTGGCTCAAATGTTCCTCCTAGTCTTCCTTCTTCTCTCTCTGGAGCTACTGTACGTGGACGTAGCATCAAGAGAATGCGTGGGGCCAACAAAGATAGTTTCATTCAAGGTGGATATAATCTGCCATAGATAGAGAGTAGCTACAATTTTTAAAACACAGTATAAGTTCCTCATTACTATTCATAGAATCATTATGTTAATTACTAACAATAATTAATTACTGAGACAACAATAATAAAACTTCAGCAATTTCAATTTCTGCCAAGAACTTTAAAATGTCTGAAAACAGGACTCAGGCTCAGCACAAAGAAGTAGAAACCAAACCCTTAACCGTCCTGGTGACTGGTTTTGGCCCGTTCGGCAGTCACAAAGTAAACTCTAGCTGGGAAGCGGTTAAACTCCTTCCCTCCATGGGACTGACAGCAAATGGCCGAGAGTTGAGAGTGGAGACTAGAGAAATAAGAGTCTCCTACGAGCTCGTTAGGGACCGAGTCCCTGCCCTGTGGGATGAAATAAACCCTGATCTCTGCATACACGTTGGGGTGTCTCCCTACAAGTCCATAAAGTACGAGAAGTGTGCCAATAACCATGGATACTTCCTTCAAGACGTGGACTCACAATTCTTGGAGTCTTCCACGATTCACCCTGGCTCTCCGGACGTCTTGAAAACATCACTTGATTTAGACGGACTCTCCGAGGAGGTATTGAGTATCGTAGCCAAAGAGGAGGGAGGGAAGAATAACGTTAAGATTGAAGTCTCGTTTGATGCAGGGCAGTACCTTTGTGACTTTATATATTACACGTCGCTTCATCACACATTCAAGAAGAAGATTGATAAAGCTCCAGTTCTTTTTGTACACGTTCCACCGCTAGATCAACCTTATTCACAGTCGTGTCTTGCCAATGTATTGAAGCATACCATTGAGAGTATTCTCTCTAATAAAAGCAATTGAGAATAAGATTGATTCCTTGCATGCATCGCTGCTATAATTGTAATAATAATTATTATTGCTACGATCCTTTTCATTTTGATCCCACCCATCCTTTGAACATTATTATTATTATTATTATTGTTACAATGTTAAATTTTTTTGATAATTTTTCAGTGGCTGAATAATAATAATAATGATAATAATAATAATAATAATAATAATAATAATAATAGATCTGATAAGAGAGATAAGAGAAACAAAGAGCCCACTACTACAATAAACATGTACTCATACCTCTGCAAAAAACTAAAACAAAAAATGATTTTTTACACCCACACACACACACACACGAAATTTCCACATTAACAATTAAAGCAATTACCACACAAACACACACACAAATATTATCTGTTAAAAAAGCTTTTTTAAGAAGACTTTGATGCTACCATGTTAAACTCTGACTCTCTATCGTTGAGAGGCTGCTTAGCTAGAGCCTGCTCTTGGGTTTTTAGTTTTTCGATAAGATCATCAAGTAACGAGAGTTCTTTGGGATCAATGAGAGAGAACTCTGTCACGAAATACACAAAGTGAAGGAAGAGAGTATTAAGTCCGTCGTGAAGTTGAAGTCTCTTGAACTGATGGTAGTGATGAAAGTAAATGTGTGCCAGTATGATGAAGTATTGACGAAATAGTTTTCGTACAATCTGTACGAAATCGAAAGGGAACTCGTAGCCTAGTAAACAAACAGAGACAAGTAGAAACTATTAATAGGTATAATTTTGTGGGATAAAAAAAAAGGAGAGGAAGGAAGATAAATTGTACACAGATGTAGTAAACTTGTGTATCAACAATACACAGCACAATTACTACATGGATATGTTGATGATTGATTTCCTTCGTTCACCAAGAGAAACATAATGTGAATACACAATGTCTTAGGAGGAGGATAACAATATTTATAGAGGCAATGATGTGCATACAATGTATGTCTTGTATGTACCCAATGCAAGGCAATTGAAGTCATAACCATACGTGTATTGTATAAACTTTAGTCATAATGAGAGCTTAAGGACTTAACAGATCATGAATCATGAAAGACTTACCAAACTTTGTTGGAAAAGTTTGCTCATCTCCTAATTGCTTTTGAATGTTCATCATCACAGTGTCTATGTACTGCTTCGCATGCATCTTGACCTTCTTCTTCTTCTCAATATCTAACTCAAATACTCTATAGTGAGGGGGGGGGGGAGAGAGTGAGAGCAGAAACTAACGAGTGTCGTGTGGCTATGACTCACTGTGACCCAGCTGACATTTGAGCACAAGTACTTTGAGTACATAATTGTGAGACGACTCCTACTTGAATGTTAATTTGGGTGAAAAAAGCAAGAGCTAGGAGAAAGAGAATAAAATAAATATAAACCAAGAAACACTATGCTCTTTATTGCCCCATCTCTCTCCCTCCCTCCCTCCCTCTCTCTCTCTCTCTCTCTCTCTCTCCCTTTCTCCTCTCCCCTTACAATTGGTAGCTAGCCACTCGTGGATGTCAGTTAGTGGTGGTAATCGAATCAGTTGCTGGAGCTTCCCAGCGACCGAAGGTATGATCATATTTGAATCATGCTCTAAGAAATGCCTCTTCTCCTCCTGGCCAGTGTGCTGACTCTTCTTGTCCGAGTTTCTACGGCAAGAGGGTTGAGGGTTGAATGGGGGGAGAGGAAATGATTAAGTTAGAAACATTAAACACTCACACCAACAAAGACATATTTGTCATACTTTACCAACCACACAACCAAATGAACATAAAATGGGCCACACCTACGGACCACACCCAGCAACACATAAAAAAGGAACACTTTACGGAAATGGTACGGAAAAACCCATCTGAGCACACCCAATGATAAAAAGGTATTTTAGTAGTACTGTAACCGTAATATAAACAGCATCACTTTACACAGGGATTGAATACAAAATACTTTCTATAAGGAAATAGAATTACACATTATATACATGTATGCACATACATGTACATGTATGTATTTGCTTCATACATAACCAAGAGATGTTAAAATAAATTTATAAATACTAACCTGAACAGAAATGCCATTATGGTGAGTGAGAGAGTCAGTAGGTAATTCGTCAGTCTCTCTCTGGTAGAGACAGCCACCAGAAAGAAAGAGCTCCTCTCCTTTATATCTTCAGTTCTCTTTCTATTCTTGATACGAATACGCTTATAGAGTACTGGCTTCTGTGTGCCTCTCTCTCTGGCCTTTCTTACTCGGCGGACCGAGCTTTTTTTAGCTGGTGAGGATTTAGCTCCGCCTACTTAATAATAGTGCCATGTATCACGTGATCTTCAAATTTATCACCTTCTAAAAATTTTAGATCTAAAAGAACTAATTTTTTTCAAAATTTCGATGGTTTTAGGTCTAATCTTTAAATTTTTGAACAGTTATTGGTTAAAATTAGAAACTTGATAATGGCCTCCAAGAGTACGCCTCTTAGAACACCCAGACCACTCCGTTCTTCATCTTCTTCTTCTCGCTTCCGTCATAAAACCTGTCCTATTTGTCTCACTAAACTCAGTAGGTGTGAGCTGGGGAAGCTCGGCAGCTGTGATCATTTCTTCTGCCTCCCTTGTATTCAAGCATGGGCCCAGGTATGCTCTCCCGTGTTGTGTACTGTCTGAACATGTGTATCGCCCCTCCTTTAGAATGTTAATACTTGTCCTATTGATAGAAAACCTTTTAATGATATCGAAGTTTATAGCCACGCAAGGGACATTGTTCTAAGAAAGGTAAATGATATTATATCACCTGCAATTGATATTATGACTGAGATACATTCATCTCATTCTTCTTCCTCCCTCTCTCTTTTAGATTCATGTGCCCACGCGTCGTTTTGAGGATGTCTTGGTTGATCCTAATGATGTGACTTACTGTGAAGTGAGTATTTATGAATTTATCAGGGTTCCCCCACAGAATTTTGGCATAATGTCTTGTCGTGGATTTTCAAAAATCTGGCAAAAGTCCCTGTACTATAGTACTGGGTATTTTGTCGAAAATGTCAAGGAGAGAATTCTCAATTTTTTATAATTTTTTCTGATACATATACATGTACTTATGTTGCATAGAAAGTTTGAACTGTTTCTGATCAAAATTAGATTTTAATGAATTTTAAAACTTGCTCCAAATGCCATGTACTAGTGCTTGCCAATGTTGAAGCATGCTATTTACATGTAGCTTGCTTAGTTTGCTTTGTGGGAAACCCTGGTTTTGTCTGGTATATGAGAAATAATTAATTTGACTCTTCATTACTTATAATATTCATAATATAGATTTGTCATCGAAGTAATAATGAGAACGTCCTATTGCTATGTGACGGATGTGATAAGGGGTAAGTTAATGAATATATGGCCGATACCAAGAGTAGAATAATAATTAGAGGAGAGTGTCCTACTGTGCATATACCCCCTGCTTCATCACAGCGTAGAATTGAAGAGTCACATTCAGGATATTTCCATATTTTATTTGAGTAGCTATAGTTATTGCTATTTATTTTTTAATAACTACTCTAAAATACTGAAAATATCCTGAATGTGACTCTTTAATTCTACGCCGTGATGAAGCAGGGGGTATAGGCACAGTAGGACACTCTCCTCTAATTATTATCTACTCTTGCCAATACATGTATCTGTCACTACCTACTCTTTTAGGTATCACATGTATTGTCTTACTCCGCCTCTTTCAAGCGTCCCTGAAGGAACCTGGTATTGTCAGGACTGTCTGTGCCTCGTTGCTACCATGAACATGAAAATGGCTCAGGAAGAATCCTCAGACTCTGAACTTAGCTGTGACATGACATCTGAGAGTGATAAAGAGGAGGAGGAGGTGGTGGAGGAGGAGGAGGAGGAGGTAGTGATTGTGGAAGTGAGGGAGGAGGAGGAGGAGGGAGAGAAGGAGGAAGAGCTAGAGGAGGAGGAGGAGGAGGAGAAAGTACAGATTAAAGAACAAGAAAGAGTAATAGAGACAATAATAATAGATGATGATAATGATGATGATGATGATGATGAAGAAGTGAAGGATTACTTAAAACAGAAAGATGACTTTGAGCAAAGGAAGATGAAGGAAGTAAAGTACACCAGTCCATTCAGGGGAAGGAAGAGACCAAAGAGGATTATTGTGTCTGAAGATGAAGAAGACGACGATGATTTTGACACTTCGAAGTACCTTCCTCGAAACCTTGGTTTTAGTTCATCCAGTTTTGCTAAAGAAACGACTTTAAAACCCTCAGCAAAACAAGTACATGTACATGTACAAGAAAACAAAGAGGGAACCAAGAAACGAAAAACTGTACGAAATGAAGCTAATAGCGTTCAAGTAGATGGACACTTGACTCTAAATCAAGAGAAAAGTGAACCATCCATTGATCCACTGCCTTCCCATAATACTAAACAAGACATACCCCATTATGGCTATACTCACCCACGCTTTATCAGAAAACACGAAAGGCAAATGAACTTTGACAGTGGGTCTTTTGAAAGCGTTACAGTGACAGAGAGTGATTTGAGGACTGAAATTATTAAGATATACTCACGAACCCCTACCCCCGACAGAGAGAGTGAAAAGGAAGAGAAGATAAGAGAGAGTGGAGTAGTAATGGGGAGAGAGGAGATAGAAGAGGCCAAGGAGATAAAGGAGCTGAGCGAGAGACAGAAAGTGAAAGAGAGGGTAGACATTAAGAGGAGAGAAGAGATGAAGCAGAAAGAGGACATGAAGCTGAGAGAGGAGATCAAAAGAAGGGAAGAAGTCAATGAGAAAGAGATGCAGGTGATTAGTAGTCAGAAAAAGAACCCACCTCCTTGGTTGTCTGCGCAGGGTTGCATACAACTCAACAGTGGGTTTCTCATTAGTAGAAACCCCAGACCTCATGTATCAAACTATCCCGGACCACAGAAAAGACCTAGATCTATCGGATCCTCCTGTCCTTCTCTCCGTCATTCCTCTACCTCTCATGATCCCAGCTCTCAAAGCTCAAATATCGACGAAGGAAAGAGAACAAAGAGGAGAAAGTCTCACCCAGATACCAGGTCATTAAACCCAGAGTCTTCACCAAGAGCCCGTACAGCTGCTAAAGTTAATACTATACGCCAAGCTTTCAGAGGTGCTGTGATTGCTTCGCACAAACACGATGAAAGTGCTGTCGGTTTTCAAGCAGCTCAGGACTGGCTGGCTAAAAGTGTCGGAAGTGGTGGGCGGGGTCTCTCTGCATCTCCCTTCTCGGGACTCAAGCATAATGTGGCTCTCCCATCTCAGAATACTCTTAAGGTGACAAATAAAGTTAAACGAAATCTCACTTTGTTGATGAATAAGCAGCAGGCCTGTCTTTACCCTCCAGTGAAGAAGAGATGTCAAATTATCCCACAAATGTAAGAACTGAAGATAAACACTGCACATGCACTTTGTGACATTATAAAGAATACAGGCTTATCCTCTGTATTACTATTATTATATAATATTATTATTATTATTATTCATTATTATTATTATTATTATTATTATTATTATTATTATTATTTATAGTTATACCTGTATGTAATTATATTTATTAACTTTCAAATTATCACAATTATAAGCCTTACTTTCTCTATTACAAATGGCACCTTTATGAAGGAATGGCTTCAGTAATGAATGAATGCACTTGTCATTATAACTTAACATGTACATCTATATTCCATTCTTCCTTTCCAGACCGAGCTGCAGTATGAAGACTGATTATGTTGGACCTATAGAAGACTCTTTGGATATGCTGGAGTCAAATGAAGTTATATTTAGAAGAGACGGTTCGATACAGCCTGCATCTGATCCTAATTCTGCAAACAATTCCCCCAAAAAGGACAAACGAAAATCTAACAATGAAATTCAGTAGGTTCATTATCTGTTTAGCTTTTACTTTTGTACTCTTATTGTCCTTTTTTTTATTTTTGTGGTAATTATGTTTTTGTCTATACCATACGGAGATTTAATCACTATTTTTGATCATAAAATAAAAGATTAACTCCAAAAAATTTATAATTTCTGCACTTACATGTACATGTATACCATGGAGTTAGTTTGAACTTTGAGCTGATTCTGATTAAAATGCAGTTATAGTCTACAGTTTTTGAAATGGGCTCACAAATTACATTTTCTGATACATATTGATGTCCTTATACTACCTAGAAAGTTTGAGCCAATTCCGACTTCAATTTTTCAAGTTATGACCACTTTTAAAAACTTCAAAATTCTGAAAAATGCCCTGTACTTTAGCCCATGGTTTTTTCAAAAAATGGCTCCAAAATTACCCCAAATTTTTATTACATTTTCTGATACACATTGATGCTCTTATGCTGTGTAGAAAGTTTGAGGTGATTCTGACTTCATTTTTTCAAGTTATGGCCATTTAAAAATAAACGCCAAAATTTTGAAAAATACCCAAGGCTATAGCCCATGGTTTTTTCCAAAAAATGACTCCGAAATCACCCCAACTTTTTATTACATTTTCTGATGCACATTGATGCTCTTATGCTGTGTAGAAAGTTTGAGCTAATTCCGACATAAATTTTTCAAGTTACAGCCATTTTAAGAAAACACCAAATTTTTGAAAAATACCCAAGTCTATAGCCCATGGTTTTTTTCCAAAAAATGGCTCCAAAATCACCCCTAATTTTTATTATATTTTCTGATACATATTGATGTCCTTATGCTATGTAGAAAGTTTGAGCTGATTCTAACTTCAATTTTTCAAGTTACGGCCATTTTAAGAAATTGTTAAAATTCTGAAAAATACCCAAGGCTATAGCCCATGGTTTTTTCCGAAAAATAGCTCTGAAATCACCCCTAATTTTTATTATATTTTCTGATACATATTGATGCCCTTATGCTGTGTAGAAAGTTTGAGCTGATTCCAACACAAATTTTTCAAGTTACAGCCATTTTTTAAAAACTTCAAAATTCTGAAAGATGCCGGTTTTTTTAATGTCTCCGAAAGTACTCCAAATTTCTATTACATTTTCTGATACATATTGATGTCCTTTGCTAAAATTGCTTTGTGAAAAGTTTAAGTTCATTCTGAATAAATTTTTAAAAAATACTACCATTTTTTAAAAGAAGCAAATTTTCAGAAAAAAGCAAAGGCTATGATGTTTTTCTCCAGAAATAGGCTCCAAAACCTCCCCAATTTTTATTACATTTTGTGATAACTATAATTTAGTATATATTTGACTTCAACCAGCAGTCAGTTTCCTTTATTTATTTAATATTATATACTTTAGCAATACTGAAGCACCCTTGAAGGATTCAGAAGATCTGCCTGTGCCAATAACCATTGCTGTCATTCCTCTACCTGTTGATCATCCAACTTCATTCCCTCACAATCCAAAATCAGCATCAAGTCCTCTTCCTCTGACTGACAGCCCTCATAAATTGAAAGGCAAAAGTGCGTCTACTGAGAAGAAAAAGAAAAGTTCAGAAAGTGGAAAAGGTAGTTCAGGAACCGAGACAGAAAAGCTAGAGTCTGTACAAGTCAAAGTCAAAGCTATCACTAGTATTGGAAAAAAGGAGAGCAGGATATCTCCTGTTGCCCTCTCTCCTCAAATCACTAATCTCACTGAAAAGGACAAAGGCAGTAGTACTGCTAGTAAGAAGACCTTGAGTGTTAAACAAACCAAATTTGTAGCAGACAGCAGCAGTGGTGCTAACAGAAAGAAGCTAACCTCTTCTTCTCCAGTGGAGACTAGGAGTGCTTATAGAAAGAAGGTGGCCAGTCCTGCAGTGAGTAGCAGTACTGCATGTGGTGGTGGGAAGAAGCTTGCCACAGGCAGGAAGAAACAAGCTTCTGCAACTGAGCCCAAAAAGAAGCTCCTAGACATTAGCAAAAGGAAACCTCCAACAAGCACTGAGAAGAAGCAAACTCTTGCCACTGCTGCTGCTGCTACAGACAGAAGCCTTGGTAGTGCAACTGCTAATAGTCTAATGCGCATTAAAAGAAGAAGCAGAAGATTTATAAATAGCATTGATGCTACAAGAGAGCATTGCACTTCCGAGACGATCATTGGCATGGTCTTTTGTAGCAATGCACTTGCTTCTTGTACGACACAACAGGACCACCAATCAAATAACAACAACAACAACAATAATAATAGTATTGTTGGCATCATCACAAAGAAAGAAGAGAATGACGCCAAAAATAAAATCAAATTGGCCAGCACAGAATCTGATAGTCATGAGCTCTCTAGCACCAAAACTGTTAGTACCAGGAGTAGCAGTGGTCACCATGGACCGTACAGCATGCACCTTAATGCAGATGAAGCTATCAAGACTATAATAAAACTGCTGCAGGAGAACTACATCACAGGTGATATCAATGTTGCTCAGATGGAGGCCATCAAAGATAAAGCCATCAATAAAGTAAATTGATCTGCAAATATTTTAGAACAATTTTGTTGTACGTGCAGTTTATAGTAATCATGTTTTGTTACGTACATGTACATGTATAGGTTAAGATGTCAGGAGATTCAACAGTTCCATGCTGGAAGGTATACAGACTAGTGAGCTATTATGTGAATAAAAGTGCTGATGAAAAGAAATCATAAAGATCTACACTGCTGGACAATGACATTATATTTTGCTTAGTACCATACCTCTGCTTTAATTATTTTTTGATTCCGATATTGGCAAATGCAGATTGTATTCTGTGCAGTCTTTATGATTCATATTTAGTTAAACATCTTTTCTTAATTTTAATAATAAAATAATACAAACATTCCATAAAGCAAAATAATAATAATAATAATAATAACACAACATATCATTGATAATACACAAACAAATGAGATTGTGTGAATGGATAGTGGCATAGAAAAAGAGAGAGACAGAGAGAGAGGGGGGGGAGAGAAAAAGAGCCTCACACTTGAGACTCCTTTACATTATGTTTTGACTGTTTAGCAGTGTGGGGGTTAATAATTCTAATAGAATGAGTCGAGAGCGGCGAAGACCTCCTGGGTATGTACTCTTTAAAATGTACACGAGAAGCTGCTGCAGGAGAAGACAGAGAGGGAATTCGATAATTAGTGCTGGTAGCATCATCTCTCGAGTGACCTTCACCACTAGTTCTTATTAATGTACTAGATTGGGCTGGTGGTGATACCGACTGATAATGGAGCGGAGAATTGCCCTCAAAAGAAGGGACCAGGCCTGAGTCACGCCTCTCATCACTCACTTTGTTACTCCGAGCGTTTAATAAATCCTTGAGCCCGCCAGGGAGAGCGGAGTTGAGAAGCTCTGGATCTGATGATCGCCTCCTTCTCCTCGGGCTATGAGAAGCAGCTGCTTCTTCAGTGTCAGATTCATCGGACTCCTCTTGTACAATAGACAAACACTTGCTGTGAGAGCGTGGTATCTCGCCTCTCCCCTCTAGGCCCTGAGCCTCAGGTAGTCCCGACTCCATTCCAAATATGGCAGGGGAAGAGTATCGCCTGCCCATATAAGGAGCCGGGGAAGCCAAGCCCACAATAGGCTGAGGGAGGGGAGGTGATGCTAGCTGAACGCTGAACGAGCGACGGCTCTGACGTCGACTCAACATATCAAGATCAATATCAAATCTCGGGGAATTAGTTCTTAGTGTAGACGAACACGTATCACTTGCAGCTGACGCAATCGAGTTCCGTCTGAAAGAGAGTCTATAGAAAGAGTTGTTGTTGCTCACGTGCTGCATTGTATCCTTTCTCTTGCAGAGACCACGGACACGAGACAGGAACTGTTTGGTGAATATGGAGTAGATGAATGGGTTGAGGCAAGCGTTGATGGGGAAAATGAGGATTATGAAGAACTTGGCAACAGTGAAGTTAATGATGTGCTGATCGACTATAGCAGCATAGCCGACAACTGCCAATGGTAGCCAACAGATGAGATTGGTAAGTACTAGCATACCCATCTTAAACGATATGACAATTTTCTCTCTTTTATTTCCTTGCTCTGTGCAAGAGGCTCGGGAGCGACAGAAAAGACGAAGGATATGGAGATAACTTGAGAGGATGATGAAGAAGGCAGTTAGATTGACAGTCAAAATGAGAGCAATGAAAAGCTTGTCACGTATATTTGATAATCTAAACGGGAGGCACACCGCTACTTCAGAGTAAGTATTGACATCAAATAGAGGGAGGGCTGCTAGTATTCCTGCCAGTATCCAGCATATGAATACAATAATGGTCGCATTTCTGAGTCTAAGACGGCCACTCTTAAACGAATAAGCTATAGTGTGGAGTCTCTCTAGCGTGAGAAAAGTCAGAATGAATACTGAGAGTTCGGCCGAGAATATAGCAATGAAACCAGCTGTCTGGCAGCCGGGACCTGTCTGCCAGGTCAGGGCAGATTTATAGAAACCTTTGCCTCTTGTACGGATATCGACAGCGCCAAGGAATGCAAGGTAGACGCCTAAAAGAAAATCAGCAAATGCCAGATTACAGATGAAGAAGTGTGGGACTTCGAGTTTCTCCTTTGACACAATCATGACAAATAAAACGGCGAGATTAGCAATAACAGCTGTAAACCAGATCACCCAGACCAGCACTGGGAGTGGCTGGGGATCCAAGAGGTTATCACAGGGAGTGAGTGAGCTTGGGGGAGGGGTACAGTACACTTCCCTGTTCACAAAGAACGAGGGCAATATGGTTCGGAGGTAGCGTGACTCCTCGTCCTTCAAACGAGCGACAATGGAATGGTTGCTATTATCAACAACAATCACCTGTCCGTTCTGAGTGGAGACAAGAGTCACGTTAAAGCGTCTCTGGTACTCTAGCAGCTCCCTAATAAACTGCTGAGGGCTTATATCACCAGCGTTGTCATGCGTAAAAGGATCACTCCCATGGAAGAGCAAGGTGTCAGATACCTCTGGAGCTAATGTTACCTCTTCCGCTGGAGTATTTTGAAAGGTGAATAAGACATCAGGATCACCCGTGTTTTCGCTCTCCTCAAGGGTTAGTGCTCGATAAGGAGGAGCATAATCTTTAAAGAGGCAACAGTGATAGGAATAGGTAAAGTCAATCGTCTGTATCCTTGGAATATTAATGACTGTTGGCACGTTGAATATTAATGGGAGGTTACTCATACCCAGGGAATGGAGGAATGGGAAACCATCAGTGGGGATTGGGAATGAATCCATCTCCGGGTTATTGGAGACACTCAAGTTCTGGAGCCAAGTCATGTTACCATGGAAGAGGACAGAGCCCACGGTCCGAATAGCATTATCATTAATGTAGAGCAGCTCAAGGTGGTTGAGATCACTGAATATATTATCAGGTAGATTCGTAATGGCGTTAAACTGTAGCTCCAGTTTCCTCAAGTTCGTTAGATTAAAAAAGAGTCCGTGCGGTAGGTAAGTTATTTGATTATGCGACAGGTCTAATTCATAAAGTCGATTCAGACCACGAAAGGCATTCCGATGAACAGTTGTTATCCTGTTCCCATAGAGTTTCAACGTCTGCAAATCAGAGAGACCCTTGAAAGCAAACTCTGGAATAGCCTTGATCCTATTGTAGTAGAGCTCGATGTGAATCAGTTTAGTGCAGTTGCTGAGGTCAGGGATGGACTCCAGGTAATTGTCATAAGCATACAGTAGCCGGAGGTTTGGGGCTATTGTGCAGAGGTCTTTAGGAAGTTCGGTCAGTTTCGAGTGCTCAAGGCGTAGCTCGTACAGCTGTGGGAAAGTCTCAAAGCTTGGGAGACGCTTTAGGCCAGAGAAACTGACATCCACCATCTCGATTTGGTTGTTTCGCTTGAAGGCGTTACGATCAATGACCTCAAGATTTCTGTTATCGCTCAGCTGTAGCTTTTTGAGGTACTCACTCGTGTTAAAAGTAGCCTCCTTGAGTTCCTTAATGTTATTATAACTAGCCAGCACAGTGGTTAGAATTGGCAGGCCAGAGACATCAGGAAACTCGGTTAGTCTGTTACGAGATATGTCAAGGCTCGTAAGGGATTGGAGATCACCCAGGAAATAAGGGTTGGAGTCATCGATTTCATTGTTGCCGAGATAGAGCTTCCTTAGTAGTGTCATTTTTCGAAAGGGTTGAGCGTCGATCCTGTTTATCTTATTACTGTCCAATATCAGCTCTCTGATTGACTTAAGGTCTCTGAAGGTTTCATTGAATATTCTAGTAATGAAGTTACCCTTTAGATTACTGCATGAGAGAAAGAGAGAGAGAGAGAGAGAGAGAGAGAGAGAGAGAGAGAGAAGATTATTATAATGATTATCAAAATTCCACACAGTATACAAGACCACATTACAATCGAGACACTAAAGCCACATTCATGTACACTAGCAGCCCATTCAAATAAGTACAAGTTCAATAGTAGCACATAACCAAATAAATGAACTAATTATGACTTGACAGTTCAACACAGACTCAATGTCTCTAGGCTAATGTTGCTGGTTAATTTTCTTCCCATAGAAACCACTGTATCCATTCCATTTATTGAAGAATCGTTATCATACATTAGTAACATGTACATGTACAAGATTGTGTGTCATTATTTTTCATTTGAGCTTACATTGAGGTTGCCGTTAGTCTTAGGAAGCCTCTCCTGAGCCTAGTCAAGCTACAATTAGTTAGTGATCTGTGGAGAGATAAGAGAGAGAAAGAGAAAGAGCATTAATTACCATAAGAGCAAGGAATTAAGTAACACAACTCATGCAAAACAATACTAGATAATTTCATCATATCAAAACAAGTTTTCACAAATTGTTTCTAGTACTTTCTACATTCATGAAAAGCTCCTTTTCTAATTATAAAATTAAAAATAAAAACCATATTTCCTGCCTTATTGCCGTGTACATGTACATAAATGAAACTCACAGTGTCTTTAGGTCCATCTTAACAAAGCTGTTACGTGACTCTTGTCTTGAAAGATCATTATTATCAAGATACAGGTGCTTGAGCGAAGTATGCTTCCAGAAGGTTCTAGGTCTTATCTCACGAATACCAGCATTTCTTAAATAACTAGAGAGAGAGAGAGAGAGAGAGAGAGAGAGAGAGAGAGAGAGAGAGAGAGGAGGGAGTTGATAAATAAAATGATTTAAATCTTCTTACAGTTTGTCGGAGATGTGAGCTCCTTCTAGAAATTTTACGTCGATTTCATTGAAATCATTATTGTTTAAAAACCTAAGAGGAAATAAGAATATTTTTAAAAAGATAAAAAAAGAGGCAGTAAATTAGGAAGGATAGGAGAGAGATCCTTACAGCGTCTTCAATGCAGGGAATATCTCATAGTGAAATGCCTTTGGCTCAATTTTCTTCAATTGACAACCAGATAGCCTCCTAATAGAATAAATACATGTATATAAAGTGTGGATTGTATCTCTATTGTATCTCTTAGCCCAAGATCAAAAATAGCTCCAAAACACCCCTGATTTCAATACATACATATCCAGGGTTTCCGACAAAGCAGTGAGCAATAAAACAGGTTTGCTTTATGAGATGACAAATCCATAAGCACCACAATAGTAGCTTTTAAAATTCATAAAAAATCTAATTTTGATTGGAATCAGCTCAAATTTGCTACACTAAGAACATGCATATGTATCAGAAAAATTATAAAAAATGTAGAATTCTCTCCAAATCATTTTGGCAAAATACATGTAACAGAATATTTCGCTAGATTCTGTTTGTAGCAACTTCACAAACAAGATACTGAGCCACTATGCCAAAATTGTGCGAAATCCTGTCAATGCCCTTTAGCTATGCTGAAAGTTTGAGCTGATTCAAAGCAAAAACTTTTGAGTTATGACCATCAAAGGAAGTGAAGCCATTGATGTACCACCACACTTCTCAATACACAAAAAAATTCCCAGTTTTTAGTCATTGAACTTGTTCCATTGATCATCATGATCACAGAATAAACAAACAAATAAATCAATATAATATCATTAGTCCTTACAATTCCCTTATATCTTGTGCATATCCCTCAAAAGCATCAGACTTCAGTACAGGGCCCATTGGATTATTATCCAGAAACCTATAGACAGAGCATGTACATAAATAATATAGACACAATTAATTTACTATAAGTAATGGTAATTATAAATTACTAATTACACTTACAGTGTAGACATGGACATGTGTCTATTTTTTTTTGCCAGAGCTCTTGGAGGATGCGTCAAAAGGTTGTCGGTGATCTTGAGAGTGGCTACTCTGGAGCCAGTGCTGTTGAATGAATCATTAGCAAAGGATTCACTTGTGAGAAGATTGAATGACAGATCACTGGAGGAAGAAGAAAGGGAGAGAGAGGGGGAGAGAGAGAGAGAGGAGGGAGAGAGAGAAAGGGGGAGAGAGAGAGAGGAGGGAGAGAGAAAGAGAGGAGAGAGAGAAGTATTATGGAAGAGAGAAAGAGGACAGAGGAGAAAGGGCTTAAACTAAAAGGGAGGGCAGCCTAAACGCAAAACAACAGCTGTCTCATCAAAAGTAAAGAAACCCACTACAGTTAACCAGAAACCATACCAAGCCTCAATAAGAAGACTTCCAAGGGGCACACAATCACACATACACACAAAAAGAGAGAACATTTACTACAGAAATAATACACACACACACACTGCAATGACTACCCTCTAATGCACACGTTATAAAAACTCCATTTAGTACTTGTGCTTTTAGAAACAGACACAATGGCAGACAGACATATCCTCTCTCTCTCTCCCTCTCTCATAGTTATAATCACTTACAGGATGTTGAAGAAGTCTTGATAAGAGAAAGCATTGTCTTCAATGTAGCTCAACTGGTTATGAGTTATTGTACTAAAGGGAGAGAGAGAGAGAGAGAGAGAGAGAGAGGGAGAGAGAGAGAGAGAGAGGGAGAGAGAGATGAGGTATATGAATTATTCATGAGAGGGCATGGTGAATGTGATAAGATAAGACAAAGAGGAAACAAGGGATTAGAACAACCATAACATCAAAGAGAGAGAGAGAGAGGGGATAGTACAACTATTGGCTATCAATGACCACTATTATGGGATACTTAGCACTACAATAGACATACATACATAAATGTACATACAACATAATCACAACAGCTGCAAATGTACTATAACACCATATACTATACACAATGGGATATCAACCCCTACTCGTTGATAGGGGTGTTAAGCTGTCATGGCAACGGAGACAAAGCTGTTTTCACACTTGTCACAAATTATAATAAATTAATGATAATCTTCCTTTTGGTAAATCATCAAAAACAAGCAACCAACAATTAAAACAAGTAGGAGGATCGCGTCATATTTTATCTGGCACCGTACAAAGTCAACATTGCTGGAGCGATTTATGATAATTTACTCGCAATTAGATAAAGTGTCAAAGTGGATACATACGATATGATATGGTATGCTACATGTATACCATAATGAAAGCAGACGGCAATGAAGCAGGCAATTATTATTTATTATTATCTATAATTATCTATTATTGGGTTTGTTATCCATCAAGACACACTAGATATTGTTTTAAAACGATTCCTAATGACAGAGGAACGAGCTAGCCACCGATGAAGTAGCCACTCAGTTAGTCTCATTGTGTTCAGCCTATAGCATCTAAAGAATGTCCTGGCAGAACACACAAGAACACAAAAGCATAATGTACATATACATATACATACCTAAATCATAAATACATGCTACATAGTATACACATGTACATGTACATCGCTTACACATTTCACGCAATGATAGTAATAGGACATGTTTTCAAACACACTCAATCGTACAAGTACAAAACAAGATGGAGCTAATAGGGAATGACTCCAGCAACAGGAAGGCCCGCCATACAGTATGCGTATATAAGCTATAGTACACGAACATAGTTTGCCAATTAGACACTGCACTGTGTATTAGCAGAGAAAACATACAGAATACATATACATACAGGCATAGTCATACATACAGGCATAGTCATACATACATGTTGCCTGTAAAAGTGACCCCACACACGCATATATATATATACAACAAAAGCTGTACCAATCAGAGATACAAATAAGTGTACATAGGATTAACACATTAGGCTAAAGGGAGCAACATAAGCCACGTGTATAGATACATATGTATCAACACATCAATTAAGAGGAGAGATGAGAGAGAGAGAGGGATTAGAGAACATAAAAGACAGCCTTTGAAGTCTACAGAGACTCAATACAACAATACAAGGTATATGTACACACACAAACTCACTACAATATTTATACTAGTGTAAGATTATTACAGGATTACACAACCCACTAATAGTATTACCATGGGATGCTTGAATGGATGGGATCAAATAAACACACACTCTATTAGTATTGGGTACATTATGCTGATAATATTCTCTATATTAGGTCACATGCAAATTGGTGGTTGGGACCATTGTAAACCATACACTATACATTAACATTGATAAAGATACCTATTACTATATGCCTATATACTATACTAGATGGATTATTATGAACTGTGCCATGTACTTACAGTCTGGTGAGGTTCTTCATTAGGCTGAGATCATTTGTACCAATCCCTGATATGTTATTGTAGTCTAAGTACATAGATCTGTGATAAGGGAGAGAGAGAGAGTGAAGGAGAGTAGAGTAAAAAGAAAGGAAACAAGAGAGGAAAGAAGAGAAAGAGAGAGAGAGGGGGGAAGGAAGAGTAGAGTAATGTATGGGAACATTGTAAAGACAAAGAGAATTGGAGAGACACAACATAAGCTGTATCAGGTTACCACTGCCAATACCATTAATAATAGAGTAACCTACATACACATTTGCTCTTAGATACAATAGAATAACACTTTATTCTAAGAAAATGATTAGAAGGGGAGTAGACCCTAAAAAAACTACTCAGAGAAAACAATGGCAAATCTCAAATGGGATAAGAATTCCGGCTAGGGAATGATCAAGATACATTGCAGCTGCTTTGCTTAACTCAATTACCCTCTATCAATGCAACTTTTCAAACTATATGAAATAACAGGCAGACATATAAGGAATGATTGTTTGGCGTGCCGTTTGTGGACACCTTCTCATTAAAGTCTGGCTAGAGCATTTGTTTGATTTCACGGGCATGTTGTTGATCCACATCTGAGCGTACCAACCCCCAAAGGCGTGACATGTAGCAGTACTTTAAAGGCTCTACCACAGTGAGGGAGGGAGAGAGTGAGAGAGAGAGGGGTAATGTACCCAGACAGGATTTTTGGTTAGTGAGAAACAACAGAGGAACAACCCACAAGGCAGCATATACAAACACACAGATGTTATACTGAGAGATGTAGGAGGAGGAGAGAAAGAGGAGAGAAATAAGGGAGTGCATAAATGGCCTGAGAATGAGAGAGGAGTAAGAAAAGAGAGGGGTAAAGGATAAAGATATCAACACAGCAATCACAGCATGGTAGTGCTGATTAGTTTAGCACTACCATTTGTAGAAATAGAGGACAACCACAGGTGTGGTGTGTGGTGTGAGAAAGAGAAGAGAGACAAAGAGTTACCTATATGTACAGGTATATGCCAGCCCATGTACATACAAGCCCACATCAGAGTATAATGCATATATACCCAGCTATATAATATAAATCACTATAGATGTGAGTTATACAGTACATGTATGTATTGATGATCAGGTGTGAGAATGACTTTGACTGAAGTGGAGTAAAAGCTGTATAAACACAACTGCCACACAAACAACAGTATAGAGGATGAATGAGTACAGCTATAATAAAGGAGAGAGTTCCTGTATAAATTTTCTCATGGAAACTACAAAGTGAGAAGACTGCTAGGCTGACAGAGAGAGATTGGGATTCACTCTTAGATCTGTACAGGCACATCTGTCAGACTATAAACCATTACTGAGATAATCCGGTATAATCCTATCCCATTCAGTTCACACACACTCTTACTACTCTAGCATTAGACATTGAGGGAACAAAGTCAAGGGGCATAGTGAAGACACACAGCATTGTCTATTAAGTTCAGAATGAACAAGGCCCTCGGGGCCTGCTAAAAGTGTTAATAATCGAAGGTACTATAACAAGAAAACAAGGTTGACATTCTTGCTTTGATCTCAAGTTGCTGAGTGAGCGGGATCGAGCCTGTTACCTCCAGTGGCACAAAATAATTAGCAGGATCTTAACGAAGAGAGAGCAAGGCCATACGGAGGCCCGAGTGAAATTACTATAAAACCTACAAAACCTTGATTACTAATCTACAATGAATTGGAGTTACTACGCTCTGCATCATCCCATAACGCAAAACAATAGCAGCCCCAATAAAGGGAGAGACAGAGAATCTTGTAGCATTCATGCGTCAAGAATGCTCATACTTGCGTGTGTGTGTGTGTGTGTGTGTATACTCATAAATGCCATTAGGCATAGTTTTACTAATGTAGGCAGACATATCAATTAGCAAAGGAGGATTAGATATTAGACACAAATAAAATAATGCACATAGTGGCTATGCATACAAAGGATAGGCCATAATCTTATGTAGGCCTTTCATGGAGGCACACCCTGTCCAATCATGTAAACAAGAGGCATTACTGACAGGAAATCAAACTGGTAATCTTTCAGTTCCCGGGCTTTTGTTGCACCTGTTTGCGGAGTGCTTTAGCATGAGATACTTATTGGGTGGAGAAATGAGAGGGAGGGAGTTGGGCTTGCTTTAAATGCTTATGAACATGAAAATGGCCAGCATTACACAAAAAGTGCTAAATCATGTCTATTCTTTTATACTCCCTCTCTCTATCTATCTATCCCTCCGCAAGGAAGTTACAGTACATCCCAATGTGAACTAGAATGTCACATACATACATAGACACGTATAATACATACAAAATAGCTACAAGAAAACAAGCATGTACTTACATTTGCTTGAAGGTGGAATAATTTGAGAATGTTTGTAAAAACTCTGGTACTGCTGTGAGCTCTAAACGTCTACAGTCTATTGCTAGAGCTGATGGTGGAGTTACAACACATGAGCAACCATGGCAATAGAAAGGCAAGTAGGCATGGCTAGTCTTTATCAAGGAAAAGAGACAGAGAAGAGACAGAATGAGCGAGAGCCATCTCTGTGAATAGCTGGAGCACATCTTTAAGAAGCGTGTTGCTGGCGGCGAGTTGGATACGAATGAACCAGTCCGTAGATACGTTTCCTTATGACAGATAATATTATGTAAGTAGTGCAAGTTCTTTATTTATTTTCTTTGGCTCGGGTTTGCTATCTTTGCTGTGATGGCGAGCCCACCTCCTTTCTCATAATGCTATGCCTAAAGTTTATCAATAAGATGTCTATCTCTCTTCCTCTCTCCTGAAGAACTTCCAGTACAAAATAAATAAGAAGCTCCCTCTTCCTAAAAGTGTTCCTTTGAATCAAACGAGGTCTTCTTTTATTACAGTCCTTGTCCTCTTCCAAGGGGATGGCTATTGACGGCGGGTGGAAATTCGATATAGTAAACAGTTTAGAAGCTGACTCGCTACGTCAAGAGTCCTTAACTGCCTCAAGAACAGAGCTCGAAAAGGAGACAGAGGGACTGGGGGACAATGACAGCAAAGGATTGTATCACTGAAATATCAAGACACGCACACTACAGCTTGTGCTGTGCTCCGCCTTATCCTCCGGAATGTCACTAATTATTTTGATGCTAGTGCACAACAAACTGATGAAAAGAATTGCTGCTGTGCACTCGGGCGAGATGATATCAAGAGATATATATGCTGGACCGGTAGTACTAGTGGCTCTCCCGCTTTCTACTGAGATAGGGTCGAAAACAGGATATAATTCACACACACAGAGCTCGAGAATTACTACAATTATTATAAAAACAATACGGGGGAACACAATAGAAGAGCGACTTCAAAAGTGTAAAATGTAACGTGACGAATACTATTATAGTATTGTAGTAATAATCACTCTATTGCTAGTGCCCAACTATGCCTGTATTGTGCAGTATAGTGAGATAGAGCTGATACAAAACCGCAACAAAGTGAAACCACGGACCAACTTGTGGGAGGCTGCTTATTCTGTTTGCAACCGCAGCGCCATCCCGCACGAATATGATCTGCGCATGCGCGTAAAGTAGCTCACAAAATGCCCCTGGGCCAGCCTGTCCAAATGTTTAAAATATGGGATGCAGCAGTATTTTGTGTGTGAGTGTGTTTTTGGAAGAATTTGCCAAATATGCTTTTAAAGGTACACTACCAAAGGCAGCCACCATCTCGTAATGCCTTTCAGCCTAATCTAATTTGTCTGACTGACTTAAAGCCATCCAAAACATTTCATTTGCATTATTACCTATAAATGCACAAAGGGTATAATGAATCTTTGAACAATACAATCGCTTGCATAAATAATAAAGTAATCCGTGGAGCCTTGCGGTCTGGTATGGTATTGTACGCCATGAAATTCAATGCCAATTATGGCGATAAGTGCCTAGTGTTGTATTGAATGGATTCACATATAAAGAATACATACAGCACGCCAGACTTTTACTGAAGGCCATGCACAATCACTAATGAATTCTTTTATGCCCAGGATGCAGGATTTGCACTGTGGCACTATTTACTGGAAGTCAGTGCATCAGATGTCATCAATATTATCATGATATTGTGCAATAATCATAACATGGAACCGGTACATGATGTAATGACTATGGGATATGCATATAGATACTCTTCAATGCATACAGCACTATAAACAGAACACACAAAGAGTGACATGCATGAGACAACATCAAGACATGAGAGAGTGGGCCCTACAACATATGATATCATTAGAATTATGAAATGGTTGCATGCATCAGTGAACGAATCCAGCTTGCATGAAAGCATATAACAGGACATTACCAAAGGATGTGCCTAACTGCCTATAGACAAATAGAGACAAGTGCATCAGTATAATTAACTTATAGTGCAGCTACTATAGCTCCTTATAGTACAGCTGTACAGTCAGATGATACACTATGAATTCATGTACCCGTAGCTATGCTGCAACAAAATACTACAGTGTATAGCCAATAGTATCACAATATGTGACTTATTAAGTTATTACTAATACTAATCTACTATCGCTGATCGGCTTTACTCTCCACACACAAATGCAGATACTATAATGCATCATAATAGTACAGTTATTGCTCTTCTTTTTCCTGGCTGATGACCTCAACTGTTGACATAACTCTCATAATGATATCATGTATTGTTCAATGCCACAAGAGAACATACTTTAATGTTGGATAAGGCTATATCTGAAGTAGATTTCGCACCATACATTATAACTAATTCTATGCATGCACTTTAAAACTGCAAGCATTCTCCTGTGTACTTGAATCTACACAAACACAATTGCTAATTACTATCATAAGAAACCATGTATGCATAATTGAATCTATATAGCTGAACCTGACTCTCCCTGCATTGTTTTTGCAAGATTATACATATTTTGGATGATATAAACCATGATGCTTTGCCTTTAAAGCTCTAATTATATGAGCACAATTCAATCAGTGCTCCCCATACAAAGCAAATCAATGCACAACTTCCTTTATACCCAATAGGATCAAAATGAACTGGACTATTGAATCATCCAAGCTAGTAAACTAAAGCAGCATTGACTCATAAACAAAAACTGTATACATTTATACAGGGACAAGTACATATTACTACTAATAATAATAATAATTAAACAAATTATCATCACAGGCTAATGAAGAGTGCCTTTATAATATCCCATATACTCTTTGCATACCAGACATCTGTCCACTCTTGTTTTTACTGCGCAGCTCCATCAAGTCAGGATTAACTAATTACACAGAGACACATACAAACCCTAAATGCATGTATTCGTACACAGTATACATAAACTTGGAATTTACGCCCAGCAACAAGTAAAGAGTAACCCATCAAATACTATAATTATGCGCATGCTACATTCTTGCATATACATAGCAAAGAACACAAATTAGGAAAGCACTATATATGTAAATATAGGCTGGTTTACAGCATAACAACAGCAGGTCTGCTGCAATGCATAATTGATACATGAGACTGAATGTGTGTGTTCTTTGAGTATATATACAGTGAAATTCCTACTAACAGCAGCAATCCAGGGGACAGATTTGTAGAGTGACATAAGTGTGTGTTATAATGGAGCAAAAATCTTTATCATCTCTTAGTTCAAAGAGGAGAGTGGGAGTTATACAGTACACACACACACACTAGGAACGAGAGATGGAGCTATAGGGAAGAATATATGGCAGGGAAGAATATATGGCAGGGACATCAAAGGGAGTTGGGAATAAAAGTGATTAGGTAAAAAAGCATAATGGATCAATTGGTGTGTGTGTGTGTGTGTGTTCAAATCAAAGCGTATAAATCATGTTAGTCACTTTCATCATCGTCACTCTCTATCCTTCGACGATTAGATACATTATGCTGTGTAACCTTCTCCTCGACCTCTTGTTCAGCAGTCGTGTCTTCTTGAGGCTCTGGACTCGAGCCCTCTTTAGGTTCCTCACCTTTTGCCTCCTCCTCATCCTCCTCCTTCCCCTCTTCTTCCTGTCTTACTTCATCATTGGATCCACTTCCACTACAGAGAGGGAGAGAGAGAGAGAGGGGAGAGAGAGAGGGGAGAGAGAGAGAGGGGAGAGAGAGAGATAATTAAATTATAATAAAACAATAGCTTAAAAATCCTTTTATCTCCAACCTTTCACTTTCACTTCCAGAGGTACTTTCCTCTGATGAATCTTCTGATTGAAGTGACCTCTCACCAACTTCCTCCTCTCCTTCATGACTCTCACCCTCTCTCTCCTCCACAGCTGTCTCCTCTGTCTTCTTCTCTTCCCCTATTACAAATGTACACATATAACATTATGTGTCTACTTTGATTAGTTGAAGTGGTTATACCTCCAGATTCATCCTCAGATGAAGAGACAAAGGCTTGAGATATAAAACGTTTCTTTTTCCTTCCCTTTCCTCCTGAAGCAGCAGTATCTCCAGTATCTTCTTCATTACTATGAGAGAGAGAGGGAGAGAGAGAGAGAGAGAGAGAGAGAGAGGGGGAAGAAAAATCAAAGGAACACATTCCTACCTAAATGCACAACATTAATTATGCATAAACTAAGAACATGTACACCTACACAAGAAGGCCTGTCTACATTCCATAGCACTATTATCATGGAATACTATACTAATAATCGGGTTACAGGGACACGTCAATGATCCAAGACACGGAGGAGAAATAATACAGCAGACATGAGCCAGCCAAACCCCAAGTGTACACAACAACAAACTGCTAATACAATTAAACCTACTACTGCAAATTAGGGACCGACTTTCTCAAATTAGCTCTCTAATGAAACAGTGAGGCTGTGAGACGCCTTAGGAACAGGTAAAAATGCTCGTCAGCCAATTAAAATACAATTTGTAACAGTAGTAGCAATTTCAGAGTCATGCCCTCCAAATACATTTAGCCTCATATTCCAAACGGATTTACTGTTATTGAATGCCAGCAGACATGTAACAAAGCATTAGCTACATGTGTGTTTACATTCATGCACATAAAGAATGGATGACACAGGCCATATCATGTAAGGATATCCTATACTAAATTATCAAAACAGCATGTGATGTCAGATTGTCTGCATATAAATAATCAGCATAACAAGATGATTGAGGATAATTCCGATACAGCGTGCCCTCTATTACACAAGAATTTTAAAATGGCATTTGCCAGCTGCAACGCTCTATTAGTCATATCCTGTTTTTTTTGATATAGTGCAGTTAGTGTACTACCACCTCAGCGTAGTAGGCGTACAAGTATAGGAATGGTGATGAGTGGTGAGGTACAAATGAATGATGTCAACAATTAGACCATTAACCTTTTTTGTTTCTTTCGTCTCTTCTCACCACTTTCCCTCTTCCTGAGAAAGAGAGAGAGGCAATATTTCAATAAAAGACACTAAACCATATCATGCCAAGTCCTATACCTTTGTCTTCTCTTCTCTCCTCTCTCTTCTTTCCTTCTGCTTGACTCAGAATGTTTCCTTAGGGGAGAGAGATGGGTATTTATTAGAAGGGGGCCAGTTTGTAGCATGTGACATACTTTCTTCTTCTCCTCTTCCTTTGTGGGCCACTAGCACTTGCTTCATTCTCAGGATCATCACTTTGCACATCAGCAGTTCCTCTCTACATGCCAATAACAAATGAACAAATATAACACTGATAATATAATCAATAATAAATACATGAACACAGTAAGTAGGCTATGATCATTGCATATCACTAGTTTATTGAGCTCTAACTTTCTTTCTTGATGGTTTTGGAGGTGGGGAGGCTTCTCTTGTGAAATGAAGAAGGTTCTGAGTCTTTTGAATGAACTCTTGCCTTGCCTGTTCCTGCAGTTGGAGCTGTCTCTCTCTCTCCTTGGCAAGCTTTTCCTAAAATCATGAGACAAACAATACTGTAAACCAATTACTGATACAAATATACTGCAGACATTACACATTATACTTGTCTTTCATGCTATTGCTATGTACATGTACATGTACATGTAGCTGATAAACTTTTAAGTTATGGCCAATGTATATAAAGGAACGAATTTCCAAAAATACATTATAAGCCCATGCTATCTTTTTATGCATAAAACAATTTAGTATTATTATTCAAGTGATTGATCCCTTGCCTCTTGTTCAATCTGTTTCTGGCGCAACGTCTCCATTTCTTTCTCTTGTTTCTCTCTCAGTTCTCTCTCCTCGTCCTCCGACTTGCGAGCCCTCGCTACATGATGCTGCGCCTGACTTAATAAATCAGCACAACGCCTGAGAGAGAGAGAGAGAGGAGGAGGGAGGGAGAGAGAGAGGGGAGAGAGAGAGAGAGGATAGTTGAATCAGAGATTAAAAATAAAACCAAAACAATAGCAAGAATGCATTTTTAGTGGAGATAATGAAAGGTTACACAAAAAGTGAAGACAAGGTAATGACTGATATTTCACTTTCAACACAAAAAATCAAAAATAAAACAAGAACAGTCTCTTACTTTGCCTCATGACTTGCAAACTGAAGGTCAAACTTGAGCCTGTCACCCTCTCGACTTAAAAACACAAAATTCCTACAATAAAACCAAATTGCAATATATAATTAACCACACCCATTAATAGCCACACCCATCACTCACCTCTGAGCCATCTCAAGTTCTCTGACAGCAGACAGGACGTCTGCTAGGGTACTCTGAAGGTTTTTAAGAGTTGAGCTAGCAGACCACCTCTGGACCAAAGCTAAATTAAATAAGAGAAGAGAGTCGTGTGGAGCTATGTGACGAGCCTAAAGGAGAGGAAAATAAAGATACACCACGCCCACACATAGTCGGACCTTAATGAGTGTCGTCTTGCAGTCAAGGATCCGACCAGCTTTGAAATAAGCTCTAGCTAGATAAAGGAGGACCTCGGTGTTGTGAAAATTATAAAACTTTCCAAGACAGTTCTCGTACTATTAAAACAATAAAAATAAAATATCGATTTTACAATCAAGTAATAGTTTGGAGAGTGTATGATGATTATTTCTGCACAGTATGTGCTCAGGTCCCTATGTCAAGGGGTCCGGAGCACAACGTACTATAACAGAGATTAATCTAACTCTGCTGATTAAGCAACTGGAGGAGAAATAGATTCCAGCAGCATAGGTGACAGAGTAGCTCGTCAGTGGATTGTCAATTTGCTCAAAAATTGGGCCAAAGGCCTTATACTATAGTACAGGGTATTTTGACAAAATCACAAGTAGATAGTTCTCCATTTTTATAATTTTTTCTGATACATATACATGTTCTTATGCTGTTTATAAACTTTGAGCTGATTCTGATCAAATTTAGATTTTTTATGAATTTTCAAAGTTGCTCCAAATGCCACGTACGTACTGCATTGTAGTGGTTGTCAGCTACTGAAGCATGCTTTGTGGGAAACCCTGGTACATGTACATGTACACACTGGCTAATGAATGATAAAAGCCATCAACACTATACATTACATACAACAGAGGGTTAACAAACAGACCATCTGTATTGCTGAGATGTACTGCTTCTGCTCAATATAAACGTGGGCCAGGTTAAGCCATACGTCGGGTAACTCTGCAGTCGCCTCACGGACTTGAGCAAAAACATCTCTAGCCTCTCGATAGAAGCCTTTATGACCCAGAACAGCACCTAAAACACCAGATAAAACACTGCTAGGAATACATGTAACAAGAGTATCAATTATGGGGAATATCTATACGTACATGTATAATCAATAGTTAATGAATGGGCTATAATTGGGTGGCCAATATTTACTATAAAAGGCTATACTAGTTGAGATAAGGATAGAACACGCTCTTCATAATGTACACACACAAATACTTGATCGCTTGCCCACACACACGTACAGTACATGCATGGTGACGTCCAAGAGTGGGCAGGTGTTATTATATCGATTAGGTTATTTTATGGGATGGTAGCAGCAGCAGCTATCTATAGGATATTGTAATGAGAATATCATATTAGCCTATCATGACAGACCATACTAGATCACATTACACATGTACAACTGCACCCATTCTTAGTAAGAGACAGTCCTGCTTTGTATCCACTCATTCCCAGCAAGAAATAAATATTCTTATTATACAAGTATTCCCATTCCCATTCCCATTCCTAATACAGGCTACACACAGACCCCCATACTGTTGTATATACATGTACATGTACACATGTGTATTAGCTCATAAAATAAGTTAAGGCTACTTCTGTAGTGTGCAAACACGAGGAGAGATCAATCCTGTCCAATTATTAACTACTTACCACATGTCTCTTTGACGCGCCTAATAAGCTTTTAACGACTACGCACAAATTGATATGGATACCTTTATAAGACACCCCCTCTGTGCTTTTGATGAGCTAATTGTTCACCTAATAAACTATGTCGATTGTCTCGTTTAACTGGGAGTAAGTCTAAACACAGTATCAGGCTATTGAGACTACGCATAATAATAATACCATTGATTCACAAGTCTAACTAAAAGTACAGTCTCATAAATCATTTGGGCCCCTAACTAATGATGGACACCTGGAACTTAATACAGATATATTAGTGTCTGGCAAGTAATTAATAGCAGCATTGCACTGTACTAGTGTTACAGGGTGGTGATAATGTGGTGTGGTATATGCATTTGTACCTATTCCATTAGCAGCATAAAGATTATGAGAGTCTTTATGTAGGACATCTTTATAATAACTGAGAGCTCTGTCTAAATGTCTCTTATCCTGGGAGAGAGAGAGAGGGGGGGAGAGAGAGAAAGAGAGAGAGAGAAAGAGAGAGAGAGAGAGAGGGAGGGAGAGAGAGAGAGGGAGGGAGGGAGAGAGAGGGGGAAGGAGAAAGAGAGGGGGGGAGAGAGAGGGGGAGGCAATTAAGAGGTGAGAATTTAAAGTTATATAAACCTTAGTCTTGTCTCTGTGTGGTTGATGAATTGATGCTAGCCAGACATTCCCAAGCGAGAGGAGAGAATATGTGTCACCTTTTGTCTTGGGGTTCTGGAGTATACGCTCAAATTTCTTCTGTCCCGGGCCCCACTCTTGCTTAGCAAGGTGAAGGTTACCCATCAGTACCCAAGCATCTGCATGATCCTAAAAAATAACCAACGACAACAACAACAATAATAATAATACATTGTTATTTTGATAAATGATATACATACTGTAAGTTCTAAGTTATGGCTTAATTCCTTATAATACAAGTGGCTACACAAATAAGGATTATATTAAAAGTACCTGATTCTTCTGTAGTGCTTCCTTGAACCAGTCTGATGCTTCATAAATCTGCTGTCTGTCTCTTGCAATGCAGCCAAGCCTCAGGTAGCAGTCAATGTATCGCGGATGCTCTTTCAGTATCTCCTTGTATAGTGTCTCCGCCTTTTCAAACTCACAGAGAGCCTCATGGAGTCTAGCCATGTTATACCTGACAGTGACCATCAGTGAATTGTAATACTCTTCATCTTGCATGCACTCCTGGGTGCATCTATCAAGGGACTGGTCGTAATGAGACTAAGAGAGGGAGAGAGGGAAGGAGGGAGAGAGAGGGAGAGAGAGGGAGAGAGAGGGAGAGAGAGGGAGAGAGAGAGAGAGAGAGGGAGAGAGAGAAAGAGAGAGGGAGAGAGAGAAAAGATATGAAAAAAGAGAAAGTACAATAATCTCCCAATTATAAATATGTACTTGTGCCTCATTGTATTGTCCTAGTTTAAAGTGGAGGCAGCCAATGTTGTTCAGTATCTCTGGTGGTATGTCGGTCCCAACTGTCTCAGTGAGTAATTGTGACGCCTTCTCGTAAGCTTTCAGAGAACCCTATACATGTACATGTACATGAGAAAGACGAAGAAAAGAGGCGAAAGATCAGAAAAATGTTAATATCACAATACTAACGCTAATCATTTGTATATAGCATATAATTCTTGCACATGCATAAATATAAAATTTTATAGGGTAATGAATCAAAAATATAAATAATTTGTACCTCGGTATCAGTAGCTTCTAGTATGCCCCCTAGTTCAATCCAAGCTTCAACATCATCAGGAAATTCCTCAGTCACTTTCTTGAGGTGAGTCACTGCAGTGGCTCTCTTCTCAGAGGAGGGGGAGTTAGCGTAAAGGGAACCGAGGATCTTTAGAGTCTCGTAATTACCGGGCTGAGATGCTAGGACCTTCTCAAAACACTGAGCAGCCTGGGGATAGAGAGAGTGATATTGTAGTACTTAAAACACACTGTACATTAACTTATGACGTGCAATACTCAAGAGCCCATTACAGAAAGAGATAATCACATGCAAGACAAACGATGATGCAATAACGACTGGCAATTAATGAGTATTTATAAAAGCTAGGACAGCGATAAATTAATGAGGCCTGAGGCGCTAACGAGGCGTCTCTCACATTTTCACTGTCTTGTCTAGCGAGGTACATCTGCCCGAGACCGAAATGAGGCAGGACAAAGCCAGGAGCAGCAAACTGGGTCGCCTGGTAGTAATACTGGAAAGCTTGGTCGTAGTCTCCTTGGACGTGGAAGGCTCTTGCTAGCTGGTAGCAGCTCTCCGATCTCATCGTCTCAACCTCAGTCCCGTGAAACGCATGTAGAGCTAAATGTTGAACTTTAACATAATCCTATTAAAAAAAAATATTTATCAATGATAGTAGTTGTATAAAAATCATTACAATCCTATTAAAATATAAATAGAATATTAATCAATGACCATAATAGTCCCATTAGAAAATTAAGAAATCATTATCTAGATGATAATTAGCTTTACTATTATTACACAACTACTGAGATGAAAGCTATTTATGTCCATAATGTCTGCCCATCATTCATTTCCACACACTCTGTCACACATTCACAGCTCTAGCAAGCTAGCAGGAGTCACGTATCAGCCAAACTCAGAAAGGCATATCGCATGCTTTATACACTTCCCAAACACACACAAACACTTCACAAACAAGCCAAATACAACAGGAACACAAGGAATGTGTCCTAAGGCATACAAAAGCAATTACTAAACAATCAGATTACTTGTACCTCCAGGCAATAAAACCAACCTCAGGTAATTATACATATATATATATATATCTTTTATAATGTAGTAATATCCTACTACAAGAGACTATACTGTATTGTTGAGGTATATAGTTTTAACAAGGCGTGAGTATGTGGTGTAACCACTCTCTCTCTCTCTCATAAGGATTGAGTTGTGTTTCCGTTAACAATATAATGGGTCTGAATTAGTATCATTTAAAATGTTGCTAACATTATGTCTGCTAAGATTAAAATGGAGAGTGCGTGTGTGTGTGTGTGTGTGATATCAAATACTAGGGGAATATAAAAAGAAATCAATAAAATTGGAAAATTTAGAATAATACACGCACTAATTAAGAATAAAATACGAAATAAATAATTAATTAAACCTTTTTAAAGAAGAAATGATTAGCAAGGTGATTAAGCACCATTGGATTAACCGAATCAATAGTGTAAGCTTTAGACAACAACTCGACACCTCTCTTGATTGAATCATGCTGTGAGATTTAAAAAGACATAAAATCGTATTTAATAATAGCAGGGGTGGTTTGGTGGGCGTGGCTAACCACACCCACATCAAGGAATACTCACTTGTTGGTTATTTAGTTCAAGTATTGCTAGACCAACAAGTGCTCCGACACACTGTGGCTCCAGGTCCAGTGCACGAGTGAAAGCTAACCTGGAAGAGAATGAACAATGAAACAGAGAGAGAGAGAGAGAGAAAGAGAGAGAGAGAGAGAGAGAGAGAGAGAGAGAAGGAGGGAGAGAGGAGACAGTGTACCTGGGCTTTATCAATATTGCCTAGTTTCATGAAACAGTGTCCCATTCCTAGTCTAACAGTACCAGAACAGTTGGGATTGCTCCTCAGGGCTTTCTTGTAGCAGACCAAAGCTCCTTTGTAATCCTTCCTGTTGAAGGAGACACAGGCTTTTCCCAATAGAGCAGGAAGATTATCAGGAGACTAGGAGAGAGAGGGAGAGGGAGAGAGAGAGGGACGGGGAGAGAGAGAGAGAGGGAGAGGGACGGGGAGAGAGAGAGAGAGGGAGAGGGACGAGGAGAGAGAGAGAGGGGGAGAGAGAGAGAGAGAGAGGGAGTGGGAGGGGGAGAGAGAGAGGGGGGGAGAGAGAGAGAGAGGGAGAGACAGAGAGAGAGAGATACATTTAGGCCCAAGTGAAAATGACATTAGTGCTGTTACTTGCTGCAATACAAAGTTGAACTGAGCTTCAGATTGACTCATCTTGTCCCCTTCAAGAAGACAGAGGTAGGCTCGACCGAGAAGATGGCGCGAATCATACATCATGATCTTATCAGCTGTACTGTACAAAAGAGTAGCCTATAGAGAGAGAGAGAGAGAGAGAGAGATGTACATGTATGATGCAGGTAATGAAATACACAAGGTGCTTATGATGGGGGCAAACTACTATTAGTAGTTCATAAGTAATACATAGACAAAAGTCAAACATCAAAGGATGAGAACTGGAACTTAAATACAAAACAATTATGAAGCAGTTATGTCTACATGATAATAACAAGACCATGAAGTGTCTTCTTTAACAGACTACATTAATGTACTAATAGTCATAATACCTGAGCATGTAAGGAAAGGGGATTTTGATGGATAGATAAATTAATTAAGTTATTCATAATTGAATTGGATATAGTAACTAAACAAGTAGCCAATAGTCATTACTCACGCATACAGCAGATAGGGTTCAAAGACCTTCTGATACATAATACACATGTATTTATGTTACATGGTTTTTTCCAAAAAAATGGCTCTGAAATCACCTCAAATTTTTATTACATTTTCTGATATACATTGATGTTCTTATGCTATGTAGAAAGTTTGAGTCAATTCCGACTTCAATTTTTCAAGTTATGGCCATTTTAAGAAATTATTAAAATTCTGAAAAATACCCAAGGCTATAGCCCATGGTTTTTTTCAAAAAATGGCTCCAAAATCACCCCAAATTTTTATTACATTTTCTGATACACATTGATGTCCTTATGCTATGTAGAAAGTTTGAGCAAATTCCGACTTCAATTTTTTAAGTTACGGCCATTTTAAGAAAATGCTAAAATTTTAAAAAATACCCAAGGCTATAGCCCATGGTTTTTTTCAAAAATTGGCTCCGAAATCACGCTAAATTTTTATTACATTTTCTGATGCACATTGATGTACTTATGCTGCCTTCTAATTAGCATTTTATACAAAAAACACTTGTAATATTGTACATGTACTAATATTAGTATCTTGTGCAAAGCAATCTCAGGACATTCTTTTTTTTTTTTTTAAACTTACTTTAGAGAAGTATTCCTTCTTTGTTTCTTTGTCTCTCTCTTTCTTTGCCTTCTGCACATAATGGGCAGCTAATGAATCAAGAGCCATCATTTGATCCTTCTCATGGTCATCATATGAAATATTAGCATCTAAATACGTTGTGTATAACAATAATGGAATAAGATAAATGAATAAATCAATAAGTGATTAATAAATGAAATAATAATAATAATTAATGGAAGATGTACATGTAAAATTAAAAATCTTGTAACACAGAATTAATTTGATTTTATCCCCAACCTGTTCTTGACGTTTGGAGAAGTTTCTCAAACTCACTCCACTTGTCTTGTTTATAATAATGCAGCTAAAAAAAGAGAAAAAAGATACCAAATAAGTGGGTGTGGTCAATACCAAATCACCAATCGGCTTACAGCAAGTGTAACCCAAGTGTGCAACGGAGCCCGTTCATCACGAAGTATTGTGATGACCTCATCTCCCTCCGGTAGCTGGTCAATATCTAACTCTATTACCTGATTAAGGTGGTGGGCATTAAATGGAAACATATTTATTATAATCATTAACAATGATTTACACACCTCGTCTGTGTCTCTGAGCGGTATTTCTACCGATGTGGCACCTGGGAGGTAACGTGTAGAGGCCATGGCGAGGAGTATAGAGGGATTCTAGAGCCCACCTAAAGGAGAATACTCGCCCAACGATCCAACGTGGACCGGCCTATTTTATTCAAAATGGCGGAAGCACGTGAGTGCATGTGGGTTCCGATGCGTGGGCGTATATCTAGTTAATTAATTTTAATAATTTTTTATTAATCAACTAAACCAATAGTTAGTTAACGTAGCAGAAAAAATAAGCACAAACAATTGTGAGCAGCAAAAAAAAAAATAAAAATAAAAGCACGGCAAAATATTTTAAAGCAGCAAAGTCAAGCAAGTCACAGTTAAATTGTAGCTTAGATGAGGTGCTGGGCAAAATCTTGAGGCATCTCATCAATTTGTGTACTGTAATAAGTCTCAAGAGTCTTGATGGTTTGGTAGTCTCTCCTTGTAATGAGACTGATGGCTATACCTTTACGTCCAAACCTCCCGCAGCGACCGATCCTATTATAACATTTATTGAGATTCACAATGAAATGGCTTCCTGTATCTTACCTGTGTATGTAGCTATCTTTATCGTTTGGGAGATCAAAATTACAGACCATTGAGACATGCTGAACATCAATACCTCTCTGAAGAACATCAGTAGCTATCAAAACTCTTGATGCGCCATTCCTAAACTCCTGTGAATAATAAAAGCATGCATTGAGTGCAAGGTGAAAAAAATTAATGTACCTTCATGACCGTCTTCCTCTCTTCAGGAGTCTGATCCCCATGGATACATGATACTGTGAAGTCCTGAGATGTCATGTGATATGCAACCATTTCAACTTTGCGTCTCGTGTTACAAAATATCATTGATTGTTCAACTGATAATGCCTATACATGGAAACATAAGTAAAGAATATACCGTAATAGTTGTGCGGAATTAATTTTTGCGCAGGCTCAAATTAACTAAAATTAATTCTACTAAATTTTATTACATCAAATGAATTAATTTTTGCGCAGGCTCAAATTAACTAAAATTAACTCTACTAAATTTTATTAACATCAAATGAATATCAAAAAAAACTTGCAAATCTAAAAAAATTAATTGCAATGAAAAATTTAAACTATGAAAATTTGAGGTGACAAAATAAACCAGATACAGCATAAGCTATAATATTTCAATAATAAATAAAGTTGCTTACTTCATAAATGTCACAAATGGTGTCAAGTTTGTGCTCTTCCAGTTCAACGTCAACATAAAACTGCTTAATAGCTTCAAGAGGCACTTCTTCATTCTCAACCAATATGTGAACGGGGTTTCTCATAAATTTCTCAGTCATCTATGTTGATTATTATCATAAAATATTATATTATTTTCTGCTGTACTTTCAAGACTTCTGGTGGGAGTGTTGCTGTCACTGCAATTGCCTGTAGGTCTGCCTTGTTGGGAAGATCAAAAAATATATCTCGGACCTGCTCTTCAAATCCTCTTGAGAGCATAACATCAACTTCATCAAGAACAAGTATTTTGATGTGACGTGTATCCAGAGCTCCTTCAGCAATCATGTGCTTAACACGTCCTGGAGTACCTGCATGATTAAAATTAAATTACTGAATTTTCTTTCACAATGATAATAAAAGCAAAATAGATTCATAAATGGGCATGGCTCACCAACTACAACATGCACTCCAGACTGCAGTCGTTTCTTCATATCAACAACTCGCTCTCCTCCAACAACAAGGTAGGCATTCACACCAAGATAGTCACCAAGAGAGAGAACAACAGTGTGTGTCTGACGTGCCAATTCTCTTGTGGGAGACAAAATCAAAGCCTACATACATACATAATTGAGCATACATATAGATAGAGTACATATTGTCCATTCAATACATGATTATATAGCTCTTTACCTGACAATGATGGGACTTGATATCAAGCTGCTGTAGCATTGCAATGCTAAAGGTTGCAGTCTTTCCTGTCCCAGACTGAGCCTGAGCGACTACATCTTTTCCCTGTACACATGGAACGATTGCTCTTTGTTGGATAACAGATGGCTTTTCATAACCGTAAGCAAACACCCCTCGCAAGAGAGCATCTGACAAGCCCATTTCTTCAAAATCATTGAAGATATTCTGTCCTTCTCCATTTTTAGCAGTAGTTTCTTTTTCAACGGCTTGCTCTTGCTTTTTCTTGAGAACAGGTGATGCAGACGGAGACCAATCAAATGAAAAATCAGTAACTTCTTTGTGGCTAGCTTTGCTCTGCTCTTCACTGATTTTTACTTGATCACTGGCCTTTTGAATTTTAGCTGTAGTTTCTTCTTTGGAATCTTTTTGCATAATATGAAATAAATAGTTATGATAAAACAGCTTGAGGCTGCATTAAATAGCATGCAAAATGCAAGCTATTGTGTCATTATTACGTAGACCTTATTGCGAAATACATGATTGCGAAATAATTATGATGAATAACATTATTGCGAAATGGTACATGGTACAGAGAGATTGCGAAATAGTACGACCTCGTGTGCGCACGTGGGCTGACGCATGCGCAGTATCCCACTTCATTCCAATAAATTTTCTGGTCACTCCCTCTCAATGAACGTTGAAGAAGCTTGAGAAGGTGAGGGGGAGAATGGGAGTACTTAGCGAGTCTTCCAAGAGAAGACAGATAATATTTGTAGTTGATGCCTCTACAGCTCTGAGTGGCATATTCAAACACCTTCTCACGGACTATATCGTCCCGTGTATCGAGTATGTTCTACTAAATAGTTATGTTGTAAACATGGTGTAATCGTATCCATTTTATTCAGGTTCTTTAACGGTGGCCCTGTTGCAGAGAGCAATGCTGGAGCTCAGGTATGGTATTTGCTTGATTCTCTCTCTCTCCATTCATATTAATTACCCTTGCCCCATCAGTGTGTCAATTACTATGGTGTCATTACAATCAAGCCCCTGGCCCTGTTCTCAGTTCCTTCCTGTAACTACTTTCCGCTTACCTCTAGTCCGAGCGACCTCCTTCAAAACCTTCACAATATTTGGTATGTTTTATGTCGAAACTATTTCTCAAAGAGGGAGAGAGAGAGAGGGGGGAGAGAGAGAGGATACTTTATACAAGAGACTATAAAATGTTGTTATATGTACATTTACATCTTGTCCCCTCGAGTAACATTAGTTAAACAAACAGTTGGTCAGTGCCACCACCTCTAAACCTCCTCTGGTGGTAGGGATTAGCTCTCTTTGTCAGTCCTATTGTCACTAGAGCACTCCCTTGAAATGACAAAACTAAACCCTGACCAATAGTTCAAACTCAATAGCATGTCATCAGCCCTGGTTCAGGCTGGTTGTATGAAAAATAAGAAATTGCAGAGTTTTGGTTTTTTATGTGTACATGTACACACATGTACTTGTCATCATTTCAAATATTATTATTCATCTAAAAGTACATGGTTGACTGCTAAAGTTGTTACAATTAAACCACAGAGGGCCACACAGTGGTTTTCTGATACTATATTGTGGTAGTCCTCATTTACATGTGGTCACTGGAGTCTCTCACATTATAACTTGTTTCTCTTTCGTAGCTTTGAGGGAAATATGATTGAGCATTGCTGTAGAGCTTCTGAAGGACTTGCTGCTGCTTTAGAGGTACGGCTTTAGACTTAATTTTTTTATGTTTTTTGATACTTTTAGTTCATGGAACTGACAAAGAGTATTGTCATTGGAAAGTAAATGATATTTTTAATTAAAAATCTTCCAAATCTTTTGTCTCTGCCTCTTAGTTCTGACAGCAATGAAATTGAGAAGTATTGTATATTCATCAGTAATCTTCCACCATCTTCGATGCCTGTAATGGAATCTGTTACCTATGGCAACATGTCATACATGCAGCTGGCAGAGGAAATGGCTAAGGTACACACGTAGGCACAATAAATATAAGCTGAGATAGGAGAGAGATGCATATATTTTTAGCTAAGACTTATTTCTTTTCATTTCCAATTTTAGAATAATGTTAGTCTTTCTGTCATCACCCCAAGATGGCTCATTCCTTATGCAGACCTTTTTGTGAAGGTAGAGCAACCTACTCTTACAGTTTGTCAATCTTTGTCACAGGGAGCATTATCACCTCCATATGATAATAGCATACTCACACATGCTGATCATGCTCTTCACCCAGGCTGTATGGTTTTACTGAGAGGCTTAGATGTTCCTTGTAAGTTACCTATTCCGCCCCCCCTCTCTCTCTCTTCCTCTCTCCCCCCCTATCTCTCTCTCTCTCTGTATTATTGAGCTGGGTTCATAAACTTGCATTGTGGCCAGAAATGCCGTATAGTACAATAATGAAACACAAAATTAGTAGTGTTTTATTTCCCGTTGTATTATATAGCACTTCCGGTCGCAGAGTAAGTTTAAGTTAATACATTACACTGTATGCTGTTTGCATGTGTCTTTTATGATATGTGAGTAAAACCAGTTCCTTTTTGATGTGTGCACATCATTCTTCCCCTCAGCCAATTATCCTTACTCTCAATCTCATCTCTTTATGTGTCTTTGAAGATTAACATTAATTTTGTAATGATGATAGTGAATTTTGTAATAATGTACACAGTACACGCATATATAGATTATAAACCACTTAAAAGGCTTAAGTGATGATAAGTATTCCATAATTATTCCTAATTAAATTGACTTTAATTCATAATTTTCCCGTTCTCCTGTAGCTTTAAAGGCTCGTAAAGTAAAGATAGAGCCAGACCCTCTCCCTCCCTCCTCCTCTTCCTCTGTCTCTCAGGATCCAAGCCTAATGGCTTCTGGTTTAGAAGAAATAAAGGGAGAAATATCCGGACCTCCTTCCATATCTCAGCCTCCCTCTATCCCTTCTCTTCCTCCTCCCTCCATACCTCCTGACTCAGTAGTGAATCCGTTATCTGTCCCGCCCATTTCTAATCTTGATGCCCCACCTACCACAGCCCTCCCTCCTGCCATAAGGAAGACCTCGTCTGTCAGTTCCTTGTACGATGTTCAATCCTCGTCTTATCCTGGTCTTAAGTCCTTGAGTCCCAATGGTGTCTCCCCTAGCAACCCGGCTAGTGTTCCGGCCACCATAAGTTCTCATCCTGATCTTGATAAACCTCCTTTGGGTATTCCTTCATCTCTTAGTTCTAGTCCTCAGACCGGTGCTGTCCCCCTCACCTCTGTCTCTCCTCAGCGACCCTCCATTTCTTCTTCCTCGTCTTTTCTCTCAGTCAATGCTAGCAATCCTTCCTATAAGTCAGTCTCTACGGTTTCTAGTGGTACCACAGGCTTTACTGATGCCACTGCTCCCATTGGTAGCTCAACTAATCCTATTCAGATTATTTCATCTCCTGGTGTTGAGAATAAGCCGTTCACTATGTCATCTGTTCCTTCGGCGACTGGAACTACCCCGTCCACTTTGTATACTCAGTCCTCCTCATCGACGACAGCTTCATCTCTAACGACTCTCCTCTCCTCATCCTCCTCCTCTTCTGTCCCCATTAGTTTCAACAGTGACGTACCACCAGTGGGTGGAGTAGGAGGTGGAGCTTCTGATAGTAATGTGACCACCTCATCGTCCTCCATACCAACAGCAGCTGCCCTCACAGCACAGCAGATTGTAATAGAGGCGGCCAGACAAGCAGCTAAAGGATTACCCAGTCAGGGAACGCCTGGGATCCCTCGTCCATTTGGAGGTGTTACTACGTCCCTGCCTTCTGGGGGGCTCCCCTCGTCCAATCCCATTAACACTGGAGGGTTTACCAGTTTTCCTTCTTCAACAGCAGGTGGGTTTGGAGGACCAATAGGAGGAGGAGGAGGTCAGGGAATGATGCCATCTGGAGGACAAGGTCCCATGCAGTCTTTAAATGGCGGGGGAACAATGAACTCCGGTCAAGGGGCAATGGTAGGTCCAGTGGCTCCTAATCAAAGCTCAATGGCTTCCAATCAAGTACCAATGGCTCCTAATCATCAAGGGGGAATAGGTTCTAATCAAGGTCAGATAGGTCCTGGTCAAGGTCAGATGGGTCCTGTTCAAGGTCAGATGGGTCCTGGTCAGGGTCAAATGGGTCCCAATCAAGGTGCAATCGGGGCTGGCTCAGTTGGAGGAATGCAGCAAATGGGATCACAGCAGCAAGCAATGGGAGGAGGGCAGACTAATATTGGTGCTCAACCAGGACAACCTGCTATACCACAGGTGAGAGGGTGTGCATATCAAAGAGTCTCTATTCTTTTTTTCTTTTAGTTTGTTAAAATTTGGACCGGATACATTGAAGTGGCTGAACCGGTTAGTGTATCTCTCTTAGGAATTATTGGCTTGACTGATTTGTTTTTTGTTTTTAGAGACAGCAAAGGATGCAGCCAAGACAAATCCAATGTCACATGCTTGCTAATAAACCAATGGAAAACAAAGCTGAACTGTTAGTTAATGTTATGTTATGACTCTCATCTCTCCTGCTTACTCCTCTAGTAAACCTGAGCTATGGCCTCAGAAGATACTCATGTCCGTACATTTAAAGACAGTATTTGTAAGTGTGTGACCTTAATACTATCATGTTATGCACATACAATACATATGTATTACAAATCTATGTAATATGCATGCATTCTGCAATAGTTCTATGCTGCTGTGAGGCTCAAAAAAAAATTTTTTTAGAATGCTATTAATTCAATTTATCGGATTAATCAAGCGGCTCTGAGAGTGGTCCAGTTTCAGTTCATGGAACCAGCTCAAAATGTTTATTACTTGAGGGCACTTCAGTCTAATGATGCTCAGAATAAAAAGGTATATAGCTGCTTGATAATAAGACTATTATTTGCATTCCTCCTTCTTCCCATAGATTGCTATTGTTAAGATCCCTATCACCAATGCCAATCCGCAGTGCCCCATCAAAGCTTTCTTCATCATTTGGAATGAAAAAACACGTCAGTTTACTGGCCTAATACCATTAGATCAGGTATGCAAGCAATTTTCCTTGAATTTCCTATGAAATACTTGTATGTTAGCGTGTAGTTGTACAGCTTTACTATTATTCATGATATTTCTATTAGGATACCTTTGTGATGGCACTCAAGCAAGCAATGAAAATACAGCAACAGCAGCAGATGGTATGAGATGTAGTCATTATGACTAGTAATGTTAAGAGAGAGGGAGGGAGAGAGAAAAGAGGACATAGTTCAAGTTCTACTAAGACATTAACATCATTTTTTAATTATTTTTTCTATTTTATAGGCTGGAGGTAACCCTGGTATGCAGATGGGTGGTGCAGGGGGTGGAGCTGGGGGTGGAGCTTATATGCCCCAGCAGCAACAACAAGGAGGAGGAGGAGGAGGAGGTGGTGGTTTGCAGCATACGGGAGGAGGCATGGGACCAGGAGGAGGAGGGTATCCTCAACAAACTACGTCACAGCAGCAAATGTTTGGAGGACAGCAGGTAAGAATGTACATGTACCAGGGAAGTATGGCTGTATCATAATTTTTTGAGCTGTAAGCCCATGGGTCTCCACCAATATATTATTTATGCTATCTTAAAGCTGAAGCATTAATAATTAATTTTATTAATCCTTTTTAGTCTTTTAATCAAGCCCCACCAACTTCAACTATGCACCAGTTACCTGCCTCAACAGCTCCAATGACTGCTTCAATGGGTTTCAACTCGTCTCAAGGAGGAACCTCTAGTGTCCAACCTCCTTCAGCTTCAGGGGGCATCAGTCATCAGTCCATGAATTCTATGACAGCTCCGCCCATATCCTCTAATAGTATGGTGGGCGGGGCAGGGGGAGGAGCCCCAACGAGCAACCAGCAGCAGATGCTAAACGCTTTGCAAAATAACGAAAAGTTTAGAATTGCGTATGAGAATGCTAACCCAGAGCAGAAACAGGTAAGATATCAAGACATGTACATGTAATAAAGGCACAATTATACACATGGGGATCCCTTGTTTACTTTTTATTCCTTTCTAAAGGCATTTCTTAATAAACTCGACCTGAAACATTTTCAATTTCAACAACAACAACAGCAACAACAACAACAATATCAACAACAACAACAACAATTCCAACAACAACAACAGCAATCCTACCAACCAGGGGGAGGGCAGTACCCTCCGCCCACACAAAACATGTACAACATGTCGTCCAATCAGATGCCTCAGTCAATGGGGATGCAACATGTTCCAGGTCCCCAGCAGATGGTGCGGCAAGGTGGGGTAGTGCCTCAGTCCCAGTATCCTGCTGGCTCTGGGACGGCACCTAATGACTTGTTCACTCTTTGATGGTTTAATTTTGATGATATTTTTTTTCAAAGAATGCGAGACTGTATTTTTTTGTATAAAACAATTATTATTATTATTATTGTTTTAATCTAATCAAATTAATACTAGCCCCCAACCTTGACCACTTTCTCCTTGTTATTTTGTATTTATTTAATTAAAAAAAACAACATTTTTGAATAATAAAACTAAGACTATAATTATAGTAATACTGCTATTGTTTAATGGTATTGGTATAATAGGCAAAAATGAAAAAAAACTAATAAAAAAGCAACAAGATCTATTGACAAATAACAAAAACCTCAAACCGTAAAGTGCTATTACTAAGGTAGTTAACCAAACTTGAGCTAGCTATAAATTTAGGAAAGCCATTTCCTTTTGTTGATTTTTTTGCCACAGTTGAGAAATCTACTGGAGTATTATGCCCATATTTCACAATTCTTCTATGAGGTTGCCCACTGGAATTGTGCAATAATTCAATAATAACTTTTCCCCTAAAAGGCCATGAGACTGTATGATCATAATTTCCTTTAAGCAGACACACATAAACAGAGACATGGCTACCCTCACCCTTACCATAGCCATTTGGATGTACTCGTAACCGCATATTGTAGCCATTGGCATAGAATGAAGGACTAAAAACATCTTTGTTTTTGTTTTTAAACTTGATGAAATGATTAAGTTCGTACGAAAAGGTTGGCTTTTGTTTAACAATATCACTATCACTATCATAATCATCCTCATCATCCTCATCATCCTCATCATCCTCATCATCAGTTTCTTCTCCTGATTCTGAGCATTCATCAATGTAGTCGGTTAATTCTTCATTTTCTGCTGCATTCTGCCATACTGTCATTTCGTCCTCATCATCAGTTTCTGCCCCTGATTCCAAGCGTTCATCAATATAGTCTTTTAATTCTTTCCTCAGATCATTTTCTGCTGCATCCTGCCATACTGCCATTTTTCTCTTCATTTTGCTTTCCATTAATGGAATTTGGTCTAATAAGCATTGATTATTTTGCTCTAGTGTAGACACTTTCTGGCACAACAAAGTGATTTCTTGATTCCTTTTTTTAACTTCAGATTCCAATTTCTGGCATAACGAAGTAATCTCTTGATTCTTTTTTTTAACTTCAGATTCCAATTGCTTAATTACATCTTTACAGGAAGCAAGAGCACTTTCATTTCTAGAACATTGCTGAAGGCAGAGGTTGAAATGTACCACCAAATTGTCCTTTACGTGATCGTCCATTGTTCTTCGATGTCCTTCCCACTGGCACCCATATTGAGATGCAACACATTTTACATATGCTAATGGGCAGACTTCATTATTGTGCATCTCTTCATATCCTCTTGTTATACTTGCAGAGCATCCAGAGCACTCAATAATGAATTCAGAACAGAGATCATAATGTGAATTCAGATCACTCCAGCTACACTGGTGGTAACAATATTCACATGAAACTATTCTAAACATGCACTTTTCATTTTGATGAATTGAAATCTGGTGTCTTGGACCTTCAAGATCACAAGTGGCACAACGGATAACAGCATGCACACAGTTTTCTTGGTGGTGCTGAAGATCACCTAATTCGCCCTCCCACTCGCAACCCTCATTCTTCTTATTACAATAGACGGAAAGGGACTTGAGAACTCTTTGGAGACTTTTATCTGGTTGTGTTTTAAGGCAGACACGACATTCAGGACAAAGCTTCAGTCGTTTGCTGCAAGATCCGCACAGATGATGCCCGCATTCACCATTCACAAATGGGTCTTGGTACAGAGAGACGAAACAAACCGGACAATTGGTAACCAAGCCTTTAGGAACCGGGTATATGTATTCAAGCTCATCTAAGCTGTCCTCTTTTGTAGACATTTAGAGTAGTTTCTGCTGCTGACTGCCTGTCAGTAAAGTATCTTTGTCGATAGCTACCGACTTGAGCTCTATTATGTAGCCTTTTCGCGTCGACGCTAAGTTGCCAAGTCCCCGGCCCCCAGGGGGTGAGATTTTTTAAAACACCGTTACACCAAGAACACTCAGAACAATAACAATTAACAAATAAAACATGGTGGATTCATTGGATTCATATGAATTAGACTTTGCCTCCCCACCTCCTGAATATTTACAACTGAAGTGTCCAATATGCTTAGAAATGTTACTAGACTCTTCTTATCTCGTCAGCTGCTGCGGGAATCACATTTGTGGGACTTGTATCCAAAGCCTTTCGAATGCCAAAACTACTGAACGAGCTACTGCATTTCTTTTACTACGACCAAGCCTGATAAAACCATGCCCATTATGCAAATCAACTACATACGAGAAAGTAATTGACAAAGGACATCAAAGAGCCGTCAACTCTCTCAAAGTGTATTGCTCAAATAAAGGAAAAGGGTGTAATTGGACAGGAGAGGTGAAGCAGCTGCTAGATCACTTATCACTTGATAATGGAGATTGCCAGCATCAAGCTTACGACTGCAAGTACAAATGTGGCCAGAAATTCTTCCGCTCGTGTCTTGTCGACCACCAAATCAGCCAGTTTTGTAAGAAATACTCTTCAACGTATGAAGAGGTTACCACTATTCACTATGGAGTATGTTCTCAGTATTCAGTTAGGTGTCCTAATGATTGTGGTGCTAGTGTCAAGAGGATTGTACTAGATACTCATGTATCTACGCATTGTCCTCAACGTAAAGTTCAATGTGAGTTTTCAGGCATAGGCTGTAAGTGGTTGGATAGCATTGGAAAGCTCAAGGCACATTTGGAGGAAAAATGGAGGGAGCATATTGCTCTTGCTATGTCACACAGTACCAGCGAGATCAAAGAATTAAAAGGAAATGTGAATACTTTGAATAATAAGGTGGAAGAACTTCACAGACGTGTCAAGGAACTTGAGACACCAGCAGGACGAGGTGCAATGAAATCAACACCACCGCCACCTGCAGCAACTGAAGATAGAAAGCCATTGGATTTGTATGATTTTGGTACACTCAGGTCAATAGTGGATTCATCTCCAGATCTTGGAGAAGGAGGAGGAGGAGGCGGTAGAAAGTATTCAAATCTAGTGGCTATAAGAAAAGATTCAAATACTCCTCCTCCTGAACCTTCTCTTCCACTTCCTCCTTCTCTTACTGTTGGATTTGCAATCACTTCAAAAGGAACAGAGTTAGCTATTGACATTCCTCATCCCTCACAACATTGCAAAGAAAGCCTCATTGTTGACCGGTGGCATCACAAACGTCAAAATAACAATCTTCATCGAACTCCTCCCTTTAGTATTCCTACCATATCTCTTCTTGATCATGATCTTCCTCGTTTTACTTTGCAAGTGACAGTACACTGTAATGGGATCAAGAGTGGTGCTGGCTCACATGTCTCAGTAGCTGCTAATATTGTTTGGAGATCTCCTGTTGGTTTTGATGGACTATTCAGTGGTAAACTTCTAATAATATTGGAGAGTCCGATACCCAGTTATGAGAAGAAGTATGGTCTCATTATATTTGATGATAGTGTTGACGATGTCCATCGTAAGCCATCTCATGATACCGTTGAGTTGGTCATAGAGAAGTTTCTCTCCTTTGATGAAGTTGATTGTTATTTGAGACCAATGAATGACAGCTTATTCTTTAAGATCTATGACTTAGCTTTATGAATCCTGAATCCAGGCAGATTTATTATAATAAATTATTTAAAAATTTATATTTTATATTTTATTTATAGTTTCAGTTTTTAAAATTTAAACCAAAACCTTGGATTTTGCCGCGTGATGTCCCGGGAAATGAGAAAACTCACGTGATAGGGTTCGTGGATGAGCATGGACCCAGATTTGCTCGATTTTATTTCTTCTCCTCCTGATTACTTACAACTAAAGTGCCCAATATGTCTAGAGCTCCTACTAGAGTCCCCCAATCTTTTCAGTTGCTGTGGCAATCACGTTTGTGGAGGCTGTGTTGGGAATCTTAAGGAGAAGGCATGCCCCATGTGTAAGGCAATCAAATACGAGACATTAATTAATAAAAGTCATCAAAGGGCCATCACCTCACTTAAGATTCATTGTTCAAATAAAGAGAAAGGCTGTAAGTGGACCGGAGAAGTAAAACAACTTGAGACTCACTTATCTCTTACGAAAGGAAACTGCCAATACGAATCTTATAACTGTAAACATAAATGTGGGTCATCACACTCCCGCATCGCTCTGACTAGTCATGAAAACTACTCCTGTACCAAACGGCCTATAGTTTGCCATTTCTGTAAGAAATACTCTTCAACATTTGATGAAGTCACTAGAGTTCATCATGAAGTATGTTCACAGTACCCAGTTAGGTGTCCTAATGATTGTGGTGCTAGTGTCAAGAGGATTGTACTAGATACTCATGTATCTACAAATTGTCCTCAACGTAAAGTTCAATGTGAGTTTGTGGGTATAGGCTGTAAGTGGTTTGACAAAGAAAGGCAACTTCCTAAGCATTTGGAGGAGAATTGGAGAGAACACATTGCCTTTGCAATGTCAGTTATGTCACACAGTGCTAAAGAGGTTGGAGAGTTAAGGCACCAGGTGACTGAGCTCCAGGAACGCATGACAAAACTAGAGCTTGAATCATCAATGGCAAAATCAGAGTCATGTTCATTACCAAAGAAACATTTACGATCAGAATCAGAAGATTCAGAGGAAGAGAGCGATGGTGAGCCAGTCACAAAGAAATGTCTACCAGAGGCAAAGCCGAATGTTTCATTATCTTCTGCAGGAGAGGCAGCACTTAAGACTACTCTAGATCCTTCAAAGATGAAATGTATAATTACGTCGTTTGGTTATGCAATCCCTTTTAAAATCCCTGATCACAGTGTCATTACAGCTACTCTTGTTGTTAGCAGGTGGCATCATAAACGTGCTCATAATAATCTCCACAAATCTCGTGCCCTTTCAATTCCAGGCCATCGTCATTTGTTGCAGGTGACAGTATATTGTAATGGCGTCATGAATGCAAGAGGATCACATGTTTCTGTTTGTGCTAATGTCTACCATGGCTCATCGCCTTCACTACCACTGTTTAGTGGTAAGCTCCTTGTAACGCTATTGAGCCCCATACCCGAGTATGAGAAGAAGTATGGCCTCATTATATTTGATGATACTGTTGATGACAAGTATCGCCGGCCTAGTCGTGATGGCGTTGAAATCGGGATTAGACAGTTTGTCTCGAGTCATTCAATGAATTGGATTGTTATTTAAGACCAGACAATGATGACAGTCTTCACTTTCAATTTCATTTTGTTGAACTTTAAATAATAGTATATATTGTGAGCTATATTATTTTAAAGGCTCTTTGTGTATTGTTTAATTACTTGGTGAATAAATTGTTTATGTTTGGGCTTGCAGCACTTTTTAATAAAGTGAGAGTTTGTAGGCGTGGTCAAACTATGTTTAACCACACCCATTAAAATGGGGCGCCATGGGAAGAATCAAACAGCCTCTGCTGTGTACAGCTATCATGAAAAGAAAAAAGACACGAGTGAGTTCTTGCTCTAAAGTTGTACCTTTATTTATATATTTGTGTATAGAGACATCTGGATATGGCAGTAAAACTGTGCGACTCGGAAAAGACTCGCTACAAGTATGCACCTCCACTAGTATCAACAAGAATAGATGATTTATATCCTCTTCTTTCCAGGAATTTGATTGCTGCTGTCTTTCTCTTCAGCCATGTAGAAATCCTGTCATAACGTAAACTAATAAGACTCTAATTATATACCTTGTATTTGTATTTTTATTGTAAGGCAGTCCTAATGGGTATCTCTTTGAGAAGGAAGCCATCTTGGAGTGCCTCCTCCACCAGAAGAAAGAGTGTAAGTTATTGTTGTAAGTCATATATACATGACTTAAGTTGCGTAGAAAGTTTGAGCTGGTTCTGATCAAAATTGGATTTTTTATGAATTTTTAAAGTTGCTCTGAAATCAGGCAAAGTCCCTGTGCATGGAACTAATGGGTTTTTGCTTGTCACAGATTTTGTGACAATGGAACTAATGGGTTTTTACTTGTCACGGATTTTGTGACAATGGAATAAATGGGTTTTTGCTTGTCACGGATTTTTGTGACAATGGAACTAATGGGTTTTTACTTGTCACGGATTTTGTGACAATGAAATTAATGGGTTTTTACTTGTCACGGATTTTTGTGACAATGGAACTAATGGGTTTTTACTTGTCACGGATTTTGTGACAATGAAATAAATGGGTTTTTGCTTGTCACAGATTTTGTGACAATGGAACTAATGGGTTTTTACTTGTCACGGATTTTATGACAATGAAATAAATGGGTTTTTGCTTGTCACAGATTTTGTGACAATGGAACTAATGGGTTTTTACTTGTCACAGATTTTGTGACAATGAAATAAATGGGTTTTTACTTGTCATGGATTTTGTGACAATGGAACTAATGGGTTTTTGATGCATATACTTGTACTTATGTTGAGCAGAAAGTTTGAGCTGATCATAAAAATTCAAAATTGATTTTTTTAATGAATTAGAGTTGCTCAAAAGCCACGTATTATTGTAGTGCTTTTCAGTTCATGGAACATGCTGTTTAGCTCATTTAGCATGCTTTGTTGTAAACCCTCCTTAAGGCTGCCATATTCAATAATTTGCAATTGAATTGCATCAATTCACATCATAAAAAATAATGCATGCCTTGTCTCCATCATTCATCATTATTATGACTCTTGCCACATTTTAGATGCTCGGAAGATGAAAGAATACGAAAAACAAAGCAAGAAAGAAGAAGTAAGCTCCCAAGATAGCTTATTAGTAACTATTTTTGATTTTCTGATTTCTGTGAATAGGAAGAACTGGCATCACTAGCTGAGGCAGAAGCAAGGGATCGTGTGGAAAAATTTATTGGTAACCCAAGAATTTTTCTTGCAAAAAATTACTATTATACATAATAGGTATTAGCTCCAGTACTACCAGTACAGGTAAGTAGAGAGATGCAGAGAAACTTTATTTTCTGGTCACTTTAGAAAAATCAGAGAAGCCTAAACTACCCAGTTTCTGGGTACCATCACTCACACCACATCACACATCAACTAGTATCAAAAAACCAGTCAGTCCAGTTTTCTTAACGAGAGTTATTATTACCCTTGGGTCTTCTTCTTTCCAGGATAGCAAGACTTATTGTCCGATGAGTAATCAGCCACTGAGAGTGAAGGATCTGATACCAGTCAAGTTCACTCCGTCAGGTGAAAAAACTTCAGCTACCAGCAAAGCAAGGCATATATGTGCTGTCACCAGAGATGTACTAAGTAATTCAACACCATGTGTTGTACTAAAACCAAGGTGAGTCTACATTATGAAGATAATGTTATATTACTCTCTTCTCTCAGTGGAGATGTTGTGATGCAGAGTTGCTATGAGAGACTTATCAAGGACACAATGATATGTCCTTTAACTGGCATCAAATTAAAGGAGAGCGATATTATACCAATCATTAGGGTAAAGAGATTATACATAATAATAATTATAGAGAGAGTAGAGGTTAATGTCAGTGATAAATTGAAATACTACAATTGTTCTATTATTGTTATTACTATTATTATTATTATTTGTTATATTACAGGGTGGGACTGGGTTTGCTGGTGCTGGTGTAGCATTGAAGGCAAAGAAGAAAGGAGCGGCGCTAATGGCTTAATATCATGCTAGTTTTTTTCCTGATAGTAGCCCTTCTCTCAGTGATGCTCTATGAATAAACAAAGAATAAAGAACATTCCAAATATACGTTTTTATTCTTACTCTTTTCCCTGTCCTTAATTGTGCATAATAAAAGGCCATTGTAGATGGGTCGCCCTGTGGTGGTGAAATTCAAAGTATACAAACTTGCTTGTACAAAGCCTTACTTGTAGTAATGCCATGCTCTGTAGATCTTTAAAACGGCTAGTTTCAGGTGGCTCAATGGGACTGCTAGTAGCACTGGTTTCTTCACCAGACGCCTGAGAAGGCTTATCACCAATGAATGCTAGCTTGTACCATGTATCAAACTCATCTGCTAGTTTTTGTCTGCTTTGCTGTGTGTATTGATCACAATAAGGGATGTCAAGCTTTAGTCCCTCCAATATTGCATACTGACTCTTGTATTCTCTTTTAGCCTGTGATTCACAGTAGTTACTCTAATTTATAATTCTAATTATGATTATCACCTCTTGCAACTCTTTGAGATAATTGTATTCTTCACTGTCTAAGATTTGTCTTCCATCACTGGTTGTTGCTGTCACCATTTGACCTTTCTTCTTATCTACTAGTTTCCTTCGTAGCTGCAATGCATTATTATAAAGGAGTGACGCTATTATGTATGCTTCTGTATACCTTATCAATCTTTTGCTTTAATTGGTTCAGTTTACAACTGACATCATAAGCAGCCTTTCTTTTTCTTTGCAACAAGTCTATTGGTAATTCAGATTTGAATACTAATAGTCTTTTCTTTACTTTTACCTTTGTTTTGCAGGAAAATTCTATTTATTTCTTTTCCTCTGCCTTTTTTAAACAGTTCAAATGCTTCTACACGTGAGGGCGGTGAGTAAGGCTGACCACTGGTGTCTTCATCAATGCAAAACTCTTGTGCATCCGATGACAAATTCTGACCTTTGCCACTGTAAAAGCAAAGTATGATGAATGATCATCTCTACTATTATTTTATGCATACAATTTCTTTTTTTGATCAGCAGAGATGGCCAGCTTTGGTAAGAATGAAATCCGTTTCTTTCCCAGTTTGGTGTTAGCAACATCCCCTGGTGCCTATGATTAAGCATATGTATGAAAAATAATGGAATGCGATTACTTACCTGTCCTATCCCATAACCTTGACCATCACTCACACCAACTTCTTGTTTCTTGTCACTGTAATCTTCAGCCTCAGTCTCTGCAGTAGTTGGACTTGCTGCCCCCTAAATTAAACGTGCATCCATACATAATGTAATCAGTTATTGTAGCTTGTTACCGTATTTTTGCGTAGATTAAATTTTCCTCCTTTAGTAGGTTTGACTGGCTTTTCTTCAATAGGCCCACTTAAGGATGCATCTACTTTACTTAATTGCTCCTGTAGTTTACTCAGTTCCTCTTGATAATCTTTCTTCATAGTGCTATCAATATAAGGTACATGTATGTACATGTATTACATAGCATTAGTACATACTTTATATATTCTTTAAACTGGGAAAAGGTTTCTTTTATCTCTCGTATGCTGTTAAACTAGTATTATGTACATAATGCATTAGAATCATTGTAATGATCATATGCAGTACTTCTAAAGTATTTGTAGTTCCAGCAATGTAATTTTTGACTCCATCTTTAATATTTGCCACTTGTCCTTCTGTCAGGTGAGCTGTGACTGATGTCTTGCTGCTTTGTTTCCCATGTAGGAGCTCTTGCATTGCCATTTCTTCTTTCAGAGCTTTGATGTCTCTCTCATATTTTTGAATTAGGCCCTACATAATTGATGCATGGCAGTATAGACAGGGTATTACTAATAATAGCATGTATACCACTGGATTGTAGTGAATGTTTCTCTGGGGATCGGCACAAACACACATTATCCTTTCAGAAAATCTTAGTGTTCCCAACTGTATCATTAAAATGATTACTATAGCAAATTTCTTTTATTATTATTATTTTACTGTATTTTCTAGATGCTCTCTTTCTCCCCATATGTTTGCAATCATCACGCTATTGCAGTTTCCTCCAATGGAGCCTTTGAGGAGTTGAGTCAGCTTGCAATGTCTATAAGGAACATGTGCCCTTCTTTTCTCAGTTAATGCCATTACAACCTGTATAAATGCTATTAATGTGCATATGTGTGCAGCTATTATCATACCTGCTCTAGAAAGGACAATGATTTATTGATGTAAATGGTTTCTGTCACTATAGTCCCACTATGCTATAAGGGGAAAGATTAAAAATAATTGTAAGGCAAAAATCTGGTGAATGTACATCAGCAATTCCAAGTCGTTCTGAACCAGCCAAATCAACCAAGTGAAGTTTTGATATGGTGTACTCTGAGCTTGCACTAACAGCTGAATGGCACTATACAAAGGCATAATCTTTATGAGAGCTGTTTGGTGCAGGGACTTACTTCAACATTGATTGTAAATATAATGTGAGAACGAGAGCACTGCTTGTTTAATGCGTGCTCACCAACCAAACGATTCTTCTCAGCCTCAAAGAACATGTTCAGTGCTTCTTCTTCGTTATCTGCTACTCTAACGCTCAGCCCCTTAACACTACTAGTTCCTTTTTCATTCTATCACATTCATCATTAAAGACATGATGTACTGTAGCGTGTTAGAGACAAACCTCACTCAATGATAGGCTTCCTTGATCAGACTTTGGTAGTTCCCCTAAAAGATCAGTGAGAGTTTCATTGTATATCTCCAGGCAAGATATCCTATATGAAAAAAACAACAAAAATTATGCACTTTTTCTACTAAAGTCTATTCAGTTTCACCTGACCTATTGATTTTCTGTTATAACTTTTGATAAACATGGAATTTAGAAATTTTATTTGCACCATTAGAATTGCTAGGTCCTTCCCGTCCTTTAGATAAAAAGATCGGGTCAAAATGATAAGGCCTTAGCCTTTTTTTGGATGTCCCTGTATAAACTCAATGACATACCTTTGACCGCAATTATGCAGCTAGAACAGCAGAATAAATTCAGCTGCTACTTATCTGCATCCCTTCGGCGCAACAAAAACAATTCCAAAACCACAAATACGTAAAGAATGCGGATGTGATGTAGTTATTTTATTAATTGAAAGAAGCCAGGGGTCAGGTGAAAGTGAATAGACTTTAGTTTGTACATACCTAACTATTGTAGTACAATCATCTCTCTCACGGACTGTATTGTATATCTGAGAGAGTGCCCTAGGGATGATGCCTCTAAGCCTATACTGGGGCTCTCCTGACATTGTGTATGTTTTGCCAGCTCCAGTCTGTCCATACGCAAATATGGTTCCATTGACTCCGTTCATGACACCAGATACAACATCATGAGCACATGCTGCATAGACCTCTTCTTGTGAGCTATTGCTAAGAATCCCATCAACAAGGAAGTTCCATTCTAGAATAGAAATTAAAATAGACCAGTTTGCTGCATGCACTGCGAACATTTGTACAATGTAAGTATGATTGCTGAGGGCATTCAAATCAAAGTAGTTGTCTTGCTTATGCAGTATTACTAACCTCTAGCTTGTTGATTTATTCTCCTTGGACTGACAGGCAATTGAATTGATATGACCTATAAAAATACAACTGAAGTAACCCAATGATTACCCAGGTATGGTTAGCTAGTGGTAGAGTCATCCCAATTTTAAACTAAGTTAGAATGATGCACCCACCTTGTCTCGTATGGTGATAAACTCTGAGGCAAAGTAAGGAGTCGGTCTAGCCCTTACAAACACTTTCACACGTTGCGAACTGCTCGTAGGAACGGTAGCCATGTTTTTTTTACGTTTTGTTGATCGCCGTGTGGTTGCTACAGCAACGATGAGCCACACCCTTTGTCAAAAAGCTAATGCCTCGTCATGAATAAATTCGAGTCTTTGGTGACAAATCTTCAAAATAGCTGCAGCTCCGAGGAGAGACAAAGTAAGCACACCTCCTTTATAAATATTTACAAGGTATCTTTAGGCTTGGTGGAAGCTACTGCCAAGGACAAATGCGTCCTCACTTGCCAGCAGTTGGGGGTGATACTGATGGCACTCAAGTACCCAGCAGAAAGAATGAACGCTGCCAGCATTTTGAGTAGTATTGTGGTGGACCCTGAGAATGCAGGGCATGATCTAAGACCTTTTCTTTCCTTAGAGACGTCCTCAATGAGGAAAGACATAATAACAATTGTTACTTCTTGTGTAAAAAATTAATATATTATTATTCATTCACTCAGCCACACCTTCTTTATATATTTTTGGAACAAGCCCCGCCTATTAACCACGCCTATTACTAAAATGTCTAGGAGAAAGTTGTTGTCTCTCTCTTTGTCAAAAGGTCACAATTGTTTCTCCTGTGGACTGGAGAGCGGGCTGGTAGTGTATAATGTACAACCTCTTGCCAGGCTACTCAAATTAGGTCTAGAATTAGTTAGATATGTATTTAAAATGACAATAATTATGCTACATGTATGTGCATGTACATATATATGTGTACTTTTCACATTTTGTGTAGATTTTGAGACGGTTGGTGGTGTTGGTCATGTCGAAATGTTGCAACGGTCTAACCTCATTGTCTTTGTAGGAGGTGGACAGGCTCCTAAGTTTCCTCTTCATCAAGGTAATTATGCTTTATAGAAAAGTTTGAGCTAATTCTGATTACAATTTTTGAGCTATGAGCATCAGGAGAAATAGTTGAATTTTGTTTAATATTGTCATTGATTGCCGCCCAACACTTCTACCTTCCTTTTTCTATGTTCAGTTATGATCTGGGATGACTTTCTTAAGAAATTTGTATATGAGATTGCGTTTCCCACTCCAGTCCTCTCTCTAAGGTTGAGGAAGAATAAGTACGTGAATGAAGTCTGTCTCACATTAATTATAATAATTATTGTTTTAATTTAAGGTTGATTGTTGTCCTTCAGTCCAGCATTCATGTCTTCTCCTTTCCTAATCCTGTGGAGAAGCTACTGACTATACCCACACAGACTAACCCAAAAGGTTTATGCTGTATAGACGAATAATTTGGTGGTCTAAACTTAGGCGGTTTTCCATCAAAATGACTAAATATAATATTGGCGGTCTCTTAATTTGGCGGCTTACTATCTTGTCTTTTTAAAGTACTCTCAGCTCTTCTTGAAATTGCCAAAATTCTGAAAAATACCCAAGGCTATAGTCCATGGTTTTTTCCAAAAAAATGGCTCTGAAATCACCCCAAATTTTTATTACATTTTTTGATACATATTGATGTACTTATGCTTTGTAGAAAGTTTGAGCTGATTCTGACTTCAGTTTTTAAAGTTACGGCCATTTTAAGAAATCACCAAAATTTTGAAAAATACCCAAGGCTATAGTCCATGGTTTTTTCCAAAAAATGGCTCCGAAATCACGCCAAATTTTTATTACATTTTCTGATACATATTGATGCCCTTATGCTGTGTAGAAAGTTTGAGCTCATTCCGACTTCAATTTTTCAAGTTACAGACATTTTTAGAAAACGTCGAAATTCTGAAAAATACCCAAGGCTATAGCCCATGGTTTTTTCCAAAAAATAGCTCCGAAATCATGCCAAATTTTTATTACATTTTCTGATACATATTGATGTACTTATGCTGTGTGGAAAGTTTGAGGTGATTCCGACTTCAATTTTTCAAGTTACGGCCATTTTAAGAAAATGTCAAATATTTGAAAAATACCCAAGGCTATAGCCCATGGTTTTTTCCAAAAAATGGCTCCGAAATCATGCCAAATTTTCATTACATTTTTTGATACATATTGATGTACTTATGCTGTGTAGAAAGTTTGAGGTGATTCCTACTTCAATTTTTAAAGTTATGGCCATTTTAAGAAATCACCAAAATTTTGAAAAATACCCAAGGCCCATTAATGTATTTACTGGACTTTCTGATTACTACTGTTAGGATTGTGTGAAGTCTGTACTTCAGTTGATTGTCAATTAATGATTTATCCTGGACCACAGACTGGCAGCATACAAATAACAGTACGTTGACATTGTAATTCATCCATATACCGTATAGTGAGGGAAGAATTGGCAGAGTTTTTTTGGTGATTGGCTGATAAATGATAAATTATTGCCAAAATAAAATCCACCTTTTTGCAGTATTTTGAGCAACTTTGCCAATATAAATTTGCAAATACTTGTATATTGATTTCATTTCTCATGCAACAAATCCTTTTATATCAATATAATGCTCAATTGCTAAAACTGTCTTTCCTAAAGGACTTGTTGACTATAGAGGATCCAGGCAGGGCCAGTACTGAGAGATTGGTACAGGCTCATCAACATGAGGTAGTCTGCATGACTCTAAACCAATCAGGGACTCTGCTAGCATCTGCTTCATCAAAAGTACACCACACACATTTGAAATAATTACTATACTCTCTACGTCTATTTTCTGTACATTAAAAATAATTATACAGTACGTGTACATGTACAGTACATCACTTATAATTTTTGAGACTAATTTTGTATACTGGGGGTACATGTACATGTACTTATATTATATTACCCTGTAACAAAAATTTAAAATGAGGTACAATTTACATGTACATGTACATGTAGTTCAAAATCTACACATTGTATAAGAGCTTTGTTCAATGACTGTTTGTCTATTAGGGGACGCTGGTGAGAGTCCACAATACTCAGACTAGAGTACTGCTGGTTGAGTTTAGACGCGGGGCAGACCCTGCTAATATCTCATGGTACAATCGCATCGTCATAATAATTATTTAACTTATTATTATTATTATTGTCCCTATTTTAGTATTAATTTCAGTCAGGACTCAGCCTTCCTTTGCGTCTCAAGTGACAAAGGTACCGTCCACGTTTTTGCTGTACAAGATCAATCGCTCAATCGGAAATCAACGTAAGCTACAAAGACTTGATATTTGATGGAACTGCCTTTAAAAGAACATGCAATTGTGTGTGCTCGACCTCTGTACATGTACTTTTTAAAAGAAATACATGTACATGTAAATTTGCATTGATTTATCTCTTCCTGTTTACTTCTCCTAGTCTCGCTCAAGTTGGTATAGGACAGTTAAGCAAGACTGTTGGTACTTATGTTGACAGTCAGTGGGATTGTGCTCAGTTTGCGTTACCATCTGAAATACCGTCACTTTGTTTCTTCACATTAGACACCAAATCTGTCATAGGCAAGTTCATTAGCATTTAATGATTATTATACTTGAATG